TTCTATTTTGTATTTCAACATAAACAAAAGTTATTTGCTTATTATTCTCGTCACCAGGGGCGTAGACAACGGGGGGGATGAGGGGGATGCATCCCCCCCACCTCACAAGGTGGGGGGGATGGCATGTACAATCATCCCCCCCAGGTTTTGGGGAATGATATTTGCTTACTTAATAAGTCGTAATGATGATAATAATAGTAATAATAATAATGATAACAATTATAATATTAATAATAATAATAATTATGATGATGATAATAATAATCCTCATCATTATTGTAATTGTGTTTATTGTTATTAGCCGCATTCACACGGTGAAAGCCAATTCAGACGGTAAAAAAAAGAAAATCTTACAAGTATTTTGTGGTTATCTTGTGATTTGGAAACCACAAGACAACCACAATATTAAACAGGCGCGGATCTACGGGGGGGGGGTTAGGGGGTTTAAACCCCCCTTGGGCGGCCCCCCCCCCCCCCCAAAAAAAGGGGAAAAAAGAAGAAAAAAAAAGGAAAAAAGAAGAAAAAAAAGGAAAAAAGAAAGAAAAAAGAACGCACGCTGGAGAGAAACCCTTTCAAGTGCAAATATTGTGAGAAGATATTCAACTCATCTGGTAACTTAACCAAACACATGATAACTCTGGATATAACTGTGTATTTAACTGTTAGTTGATTTAAACAGACGTTATCATGCACTGCTTTTTATGGTCTCCATTGTGTTAATAGATGCCAGGAAAACATCACTTACGGGGTTCAAATATACACCCCAAAAAAAAATCGGCTCGCCGCTTCGCGGCTCGTGGACGATGCTCCGCATCGTCATTATTTAGGTCAACCCCCCCTTAGCAAAAAGCTAGATCCGCCCCTGAATCATCCCCCCCAGGTGTACGAACCTGTCTACGCCACTGCTCGTCACTGCATTTTTATTAAATTGATTTCCAACACTTGCTTTATAGATTGCAAATAAAGCATAATGAAGTATTAAATCAATATCTGTAACATTTTCTTTTGCGTCACGAAAACCATATACAACACAAATGGGTGAGAATTTAAAATCTTTACAGAAGGAGTTACATAATAATAGTTCAATAACGTTCCAAAATCGGTAAATATTTTCGCATTAAAAAAAAAAGAGAATGAAGAAAGGTAAGGGATATCAGTTGCAATTTCCCCGCCAACAAGGTGTAGATCGGGGGGGGGGCACTAGCGAACTAATAGGGGAGGGGGGCTTTGGGGAAATAAAATTCAAAGTGGTTTATTTCTAATTCCATAACGATGATTTACAAATATTGCTGAAATGACATAATTTTCCGAGATTTATCCTCATTTTTAAGTAAATTATACTTTTTTATGCGTTTGTTGGAAAATTTACAGCCAGGCAAGAAAATTCTTCTTGAGATGCCTTCATGTCAGGACCCGCGGAACGGCGGGGAACAGGATCCTCGAGCCTCCCCCCCCCCCCACACTTGTTTTGAAAAAGTATATTAAAGAGAAATAGAAAGAAAGAGAGCAAGAAAGAAAAAATAGTTAACTGCCAGTGTCAATTTATAATGAGGTATCAAAATATGCTCATCTGACCATAATTAAATGCCTAAAACCCAGAGGGCTCTGCCCCCTGGATTCCACCTAGGGCCCTTAGGCGGGCCCTAAGTTGCTCATCTGACGGTAATTTAATGCCTAAAATCCCTGATTTCTGGGGGCTCTGCCCCCTGGACCCCACGCCAAATGGGTGTCCTACCAGTGTCACAAAATAATAAGGTATCAAAAAAATGCTCATCTGACCGTAATTAAACGCCTAAAACCCCTGAGCTTCCAGGGGCTCTGCCCCCTGGACCCAAACTAGAGCCCCAAGGCGGGCCCCTTGATACTCAGTTGACCGTAATTGAGTGCCTAAAACCCATGAGCTTCTGGGGGCTACGCCACCTGAACCCCACGCCAATTAGTGACCTGCCAGTGTCACAATTAGGTATCAAAATAATGCTCATCTGACCGTAATTAAATGCCTAAAACCCCTGAACTTCCAGGGCTCTGCCCCCTGAACCGCGCCTAGGGCCCTAAGGCGGACCCCTGAATTCGAATCTGACCATAAACTATTGCCTTAAACCCCTGAGCTTCCGGGGGCGGACAAGGTATCAACCTATGTTCATCTGACCGCAGGCGCGTGGCCAAGGGGCGGTGGGGTGGTCCCAAAAAAAAAACGCCGGCCAAAAAAAGAGAGGAGTGAAAAGGGAGTAGACGAAGAACATTTTTTGAAATTCAGTCAAGGATTAAGAGTCGAGAACGGTACAACGAATCGCCTTCGTTCTCTAATAATTTAATAAAACGTCAAAGCTTCCGCGCTTTGCACAGGAGGGGTGGATCTTAATTCAGACAAGGATTAGGAGACAAGAATGGTAATAAGAATCGTCTTCTTTCTGTAATGAATTAATGAAACGTCAAAGCATCCGCGCTTTGCGAGGGGAGGGGAGGGAGAACTGAATTCAGACGAGGATAATTTTCGAGAACGGTACAACGAATCGTCTTCTTTCTATAATAATTTAATGAAACATCAAAGCTTCCGCGCTTCGCGCGGGAGGGGGGGGGACTGGATTTAGACAAGGATTAAGAGTCGAGAACGTTACAACGAATCGTCTCCTTTCACTAATGATTTAATAAAAAGGTAGAAGGTTCCGCGCTTCGCGCGGGATCGGGGGGGGGGGGGGGAACTAAATTGAGACAAGGATTAAGAGTCGATAACGGTACAACGAATCGTCTTCTTTCTATAATAATTTAATGAAACATCGAAGCTTCCGCTGGAGGGTGGGGACTGGATCTAGACAAGGATTAAGAGTCGAGAACGTTACAACGAATCGTCTCCTTTCACTAATGATTTAATAAAAAGGTAAAAGCTTCCGCGCTTCGCGCGGGATCGGGGGGGGGGGGAAATAAATTAAGACAAGGATTAAGAGTCGATAACGACACAACGAATCGTCTTCTTTCTCTAATGGTCTAATGAAACATAAAATCTTCCGCGCTTCGCGCGGGAGGGGGGGGGACATTAATTGAGACTATAGGATAATTTTTGGGAACGTATACGAATCGTCTTCTTTCTCTAATAATTTATTGAAATGTCAAAGCTTCCGCGCTTCGTGGAGGAGGGAGGGGGAAAACTCGCCGCTCCCTGCACCCACCCCCCCCCCCAATTACGTCACTGCTGGTCACCATTACGTACCAATATTGGGCTTGCATAATTTCAAATTTGGGGCCCCACTAAGAAATCCTGGATCCGCGCCTGGACATAGTCATGATAAGCTCGAATAGAGGCATAAAAACAGTATCTTAGAGAAGTATAATAAATTTAATACAATTTGTTTTTATGATTTCTGTGGAAAAGAATATAGTATGCATTTTAAGAGTTAAAGGCACACTGTACTCCTACTTGTAGCTACTTGCTCCCTCTATATAGACAACTTCCCCAATCGGTGCCTGTTGGTCCCCCATGATCCTCTTTTTCTTACGTTAAATGAGAGCTGAGTTAATGAGATAGCAACCTGTCACAATGACCTTGCTGGCTCGCTGGGTGGTCTAATCCCTTCTAGCTGAAGTAGTAAAGCCTACCTTTAAAGCCTACCGTTAAAGGTTGAATGCAGCTGTACTGAATACCACCAAACTGCAAACAATTTACATAAATTAGCATAACAACCATAAAGACGTGATTTAAATTAGTATATATGACGCTCTGGGCCTAATAAGTACCTGTAGAAAGTTTGATGATTTTGTCATGGACCTAAAGACCCTGACTATTATAAAGGAGATGATGTCATAAGGATCGGTTGATGGCGCTCTACACAAAAGCTCAAGTCAATTGATTTAGCAATTCATTTCAAGTTAATTATTTTCCTATCTTATGTTGTGTTAAAATGTTTGTTTTTAGTTTTCCAATTTCTCATGCAGTTATTCTTTCCTGACCTCTGATTTTTATATGTTGGGGCTTTTGTTTTAGAAGTAAATATCAAGGTAAGCAAGGGCGTCAATCCGAGCTTGAGCATGGGAGGGACCAATTATCTTTTTTGGGGGTTCCCAATTCGTCAATTTAGCTGCGAATCAGCCAGCCAGTGAATAATGGGGGAGGGGGAGGGTAAGAGCACTTTTTTTTTTCTTTTTTTTTTTTTTTGGGGGGGGGGGGGCAATTCGTCAGGAAATATTTAGCGTCGAATCAGCTAGCCAGTGAATAAGCGGGGGGGGGGGGGGGGGTTAAGAGGCACTTTTTGGGGCCAATTCGTGAGAAGTTTGTATACAATATCTTTGTTCCTCGTGGTCACTCTTGTTTTCTGACAAAACATGGGGGACATCTAGTAGGAAAAAATTATTGTTATTGCCCCACCTTTTTTAAATGCGCGAACCATGATTGTACTGCTTCTTGGTTCTTGGCTCTTGGTTCTTGGTCGGTTGGTCCTCCAAAATACTCGTCTGAGTTTTAACTGCTGCATATCTTGGCCGTGAATATTGCGTAGATGAAGAGAAATGGTCCATCATCGATCTACATCAGTGCGCGGTGATAACCTTACGCCGCACCTCCCCCCCCCCCCCCCCCCCCCCCCCCCCCCCCCCCCCCCCCCCTGTGTGAAAAAAGTGTAAAAAGAAGTTAATTTTACCCTTTTTTTAGATCCCCCCCCCCCCGGCGCTCAAGGGGGAGGGGTGCGATTTTATAAATTTTCGAGGGCAAAACAAAATTAGTGCACTACCCCCCAGTCCCCCTTGATTCCACACCTCGAGAAATGCATTATCAAATACATGTGTTCATTGATTCATTCCATGTTAATTTCTCATCAATGATAAGTCCGAGGAACTTAGAACTCTTCTTTTATTGAATGGAAACAGCATGCAGAAGCTGAGTTACAACCACAAAATTGTGGTTATTATACAAAATTATAAAGCATGATTATTATTATTATTATTACGCTGCACCCAAGCATGCAATATGCATATTGCGCGCTAAGCTAAAATACTGCCAATATAAATTGTGCGCGGGCCCAGCGAACAACGTGCCCTTTGCACTAAACAGCGCGCGGTAATGGGTAGTGTGTGCATGCACATCTTTTATTCAGTCCCGGTCCCGCTCGTTCGATTCTGAGCTGTGTTGTTGGTAGCTGCGAAGGAGCGAAGGCCACTTTTAAGTTTTATGATCTTCTCTCATGTCTTTTTGTGGCGGATTTAAGAAAGTATACAAGTATTCTTCCACTGTTGAGGCATAAAAGGGGAGATGGCGTACAACTATGTGGTTACGGCGCACAAACCAACAGCTGTCAATGGCTGTGTCACAGGTGAGATTGAGAATGACTGACAATCATAATGCCTGGATGAGAATAATCAGTGAGAAAGATTGATCGAAAACTAAAAGCATGAAAAGTAGCGTAGAATAGAACTAAAAGTAAAATTAAAAACTAAAATTACAACTACAACTACGAATAATGAAGAAAATCTACCAGTTAAGACTAGTGGTCGATACACATTAGACTAGATATCTAAAGTTAGGCCTAGACTAGGCCCTAGCTAACTCCACTCTCCAGGAAGCCCCATTCCGACGTTGGAGCTTCAGTGGGTGCATAGGCATAGCATAGACTCTAACGTTAGGAAAACATCCAAACAGCGGGTTGGGCGACATTATCTCAAAATATGCAAAGGGAGTAATTACAATTTTGACTAACTAGGTTACTGGACTCCCCTGGGCATCTGGCTGGCCACTTTAAATTATAATTTAAAGAAGTCTTTGATGGGAAAAATGGGGTGATTCTTCGACCTACCCCGACGATTCTTCCATGTTCGATGTTGAATCGACAATTTAGTTGGCTACCCGACTTTTGAAATTATTCACAATTTGCTGACCTACCTTTCATCCACTTATATTAAAGTTTTGTTTGCAATTACCATAATACTAAAATTTCATAATTTGTTTGTTTACGCTATTGAACCAAACAATGTTTGCATATTTTCAAATGTTCCAGACTTGATTACAATTTTTGCTATTTTGTGGTTCCTTTTGTCCTTTTTTATGTTATTGTATATAAATTTGTATACATTTTGCTTTGTGTTTATTAATGGATAATAAATTTCATGTTAGATGCTGCTTGTAAGTATAGGCTTGCATGGTGATGTAGATATACAGTACTCAGTAGGCTTGCGGGTGCACCATGTGAGAGAGAGGGAGGATTGAGCAGTCCTGAAAAGGACTCTCTGTAATCTTTCTTGAGGGTGTGTAGTCCTGAAAAGGACTGTTGGTGTAGTCTTGAAAATGTTGCAGTTGAAAATGAAATGCTGATAGATTCGAATCAAGTTTATGATTGTTATTCTGCAGGTAACTTCACTTGTGCTGATGACCTGAACCTGATCATTGCTAAGAACACCCGGCTAGAGATCTACGTAGTCACTCCTGAGGGACTCCGACCAATCAAAGAGATCGGCATGTACGGACGCATTGAGGTCATGAAACTATACAAACCACCAGTAAGTATCATCACTGCTTCTTTAGACTATTAACATTTATCTTTTCAAAATGAACAAATCTTTGTTCATTGTTTTTGGTAAAATAGTGTGAAATATAATTTCATGTCTGTTCGGCATTATTTTCATTTGCAAAATAGTTGAGATGAAATTCACTACTAGGCTATTCACTACCGTTTCTACATGTTATCAAAGCCCACCTTTGCATTATATTTCAGCTAAACAATGACGGACAAAGAAAGAGGACAAAATATACAGTTCCTCAGGTAGACAAAGGAACATCCCTTCACTGCTATCATGTAAAAATGTGTAGAACAGGTGTCACATGCATATATTCACCTGTTCTACACATTTTTACATAATAGCAGTGAAGGGATGTTCCTTTGTCTACGACAGCAATTGTTGAGGGTAGAATGAGGAACTGTATATTTGGCCCGTCATGTTCATAGTGCTTTAATCTTGTGAATAAGAGATGAGAATGTATGTGTTTGTCTGTATTACAGGGGTCGCCTAAAGCCTTGCTGTTTGTGTTGACAGCCAAGTATAATGCCTGTATCTTAGAGTGTGTCAACGAGAATGGAACAGAAGAAATCATCACCAAAGCACAAGGAAATGTTCAGGTAAGTCTCAAATTTTCTTCTAGGGAACGTCGTACAAATGCAAGGTGGATATGAACCAAGAAGAATTAAAATGGTCTAGGAGCAAGAATAGGGGCAAACAAACATCATGTAGCACATTTCATTTGGTTTTGCCTGACTGTATGGAAAAGAACTTTGATTTTTGATTTTTTTTTTTTTTTTTTTTTTTTTGGGGGGGGGGGGTAGGGGTTGTTTTTTTGTATGTACCGGTACAATGACAGCCATTTTCATGTATTTAATTTCTTCACTTTGTAACAGATAACAGGCATTTTTGTTTTAAAGGTAAAGACCAGTATTGGAAGCGCCCCAATTTCAAAAAATGAAATGGAAGCTCTTATTACCAATCATGTGAAAGAATATGTTTTGACTAATACATGATAACAATTTTGCCGGGAAACCGCCTACTAATTGATATATTTGGTAAATTGGTTTATCTATTGGTATGTGAGAGATAAACGCACGTGTCGCGCACGTGTGCGTAGTTCCATATACATCTTTCTGTGTACAGTGCTTGTAACTTCACCAAGACTGGGCCAAATTTCTTATCATTTTGATGATTCCAGAACCTTGCAGTACACACCAATACTTATATGCTAGATGATCAACCTTTTCTGATCGATTCGACAACAATTCTTTCACAATGCAATTGCATGACCATAACTGGTCTTTATCTCCTTGATATGTTTGTTTTGTAGGACCGGATTGGGAGACCATCAGAGACTGGACCAATAGGAATCATTGATCCAGAATGCCGTATGATTGGTTTGAGACTCTATGACGGACTCTTCAAAATCATCCCTCTAGACAGAGATAATAAGGAACTCAAAGCATTCAACATTAGGTTTGTAATACATAGGAAGCAAATGCATTCAGCATTAGGTTTGTGATTCATAGAAAACGAATGCATTCAAATTTAGGTTTGTGATTCATAGAAAACGAATGCATTCAATTTTAGGTTTGTGATACATAGAAACAATTGCATTCTATTTTAGGTTTGTGATGCACAGAAAACAAATGCATTTAACATTATGTTTGTAATACATAGGAAGCAAATGCATTCAACATAAGATTTGTAAAAAATAATTCCTGCTTATATAGCATCATGCAGCCATCATGCAGTAAAGCTCATGGCGCTTAGACATTAAATCACCCTGGTTATAGCCGAGCCACTAAAGAAACTAGTGCTCAAGCATATCAGGTACCCATTTTGCACCTGAGTGGCAAATGTAGATTAATGTGTTGCCAAAGGAGGTTAGTGTGGGGCTGGGTTTTGAACCCAGAACCTTGTGATCTACTGTCTGGCGACTTGACCAGAAGACAACAGCACCTCTACATAATGCATTGAAAACAAAAGCATTCAAATATTAGGTTTGTAATACATAGAAAACAAATGCATTCAACATTCGGTTTGTGATTCATAGAAAACAAATGCATTCAATTTTAGGTTCGTGATTCATAGAAAACGAATGCATTCTATTTTAGGTTTGTGATGCATAGAAAAGAAATGCATTCAACATAAGATTTGTGATACAAAAAAGCTATTGAAAAATATTCATGTTGTGAGACGTACACCAGTTCAGATCCTAAGTCCAGCTGAAAACCATGATAGTAATAGTTGAAAATAATTCTGGTAAACAATTTTATTAATTGTTATTATATTGAAACACCCTTGTTGACAAGTAGTGTTATTGATATTTGTTTGTGTTTGTTTTATACAGGCTTGAAGAACTGAATGTTATCGATGTTCAGTTTCTGTATGGGTGCCATCAACCAACAATCGTCTTCTTGCATCAGGTAAATTCATGTCATCAAGTTTGCTTTTATATTTGTTCTAATTTATTCATTCTTTGGGATTTCTATCTATACAAATGCAGTCAGTCTAACTTATCTTGTGTTTTTTTTTTGTAACACCCTGTTACTTATTCTTTGTAAAGCTCATAAATTTTCACTGTTACATAATGAATTTACTATATGTGGTAGAGATAGGTGCATACTCTGCTATTTATTGGCTCGTTACTCCTCTTCGTTTTAATGTATTTCTTTTTCTTTCTTTTTTCTGTATTGTATTGTATTGAACTCGCAAACAATTATTTGTCAAATTACTGCCGTCTTAATTTTAATTGTGTACCTCTCGCTACAGTAAACAATTTCTGTCCCTGTTATTTTTCAAGTCTCCCAGGAACCTATTCTTTACAAGCTCTGCTTTTCTATAGGTTCCTGCACATTTCACAGTTTGTACTTTTGTCTGGGTTTCCTTTAAATGATATTAGTTGTCAAACAAATGTGATGATTACCTTGTCAACTAATATAATCTTCTTCTTTTTTTTTTAAAATTATGAAACAATTTGTATTTTATGTATATTTTGTTATCTGTATTATTTCTGCAAGTGAAATGTGAAATAAATAAACTCAAACTCAAACTCAAACTATACAGATCATTCTCATTTTGAGTTGAGGTAGTAGATACAGGTGTATACAGATATATCACACAATCTGTCTAGATCTTGATACAGACTAGAGAATCAATGTGACTGGTTAAAGGGATCTGGTAACTTACTTTGTCTCAGATTCTGAAACAAAATCCTGGATTTACCTTATGCTGCAATGATAATTATAAACCTTTAGGTCAGTCAGGAACCCCATGACTTTTACAAGCCGATCGCCTGTCTGATTATCAAGATATTTATGATTGGAAATACACATTTTGAAAACCGTTTGCCAAACGGTTTTCATATACAGTCTACTGGGGAAAACGAGTATGGTGAAACCGGTCACTCAAAGATTTTTACTCTTTTGAGGCACTTCTTGATCATTTTGATGTGCAATTTTTGGGGGGCTTCAATATTACACCATATCACAGACAATGATTACATGTAGGGCCATGTATCTCAGATTTAACATTGTTAAACGATTCCTTTAACTGGTCAACCCCTTCTGTGCTAATGTCTATATATCCTCTGAAATGTAGGAAATAGCTACCAATGGAGCAACAACAATTACAAGTTAATGAATATGTCTTAGATTTACTAAGCGCTTCCAAACTTGGAGATTATTACCCCGGCTTTAGCTGTCCTACCATTGCGGCGCTCTAGCATTTCAAGGAATTAATTCCTGCCAGGTACCACTATAATGCCTAGAAATGTAATATAAGATGGGTAGACAACTATGAGGGCTTGATGCTCAGGGTCATAGAAGGTCGTATTCATGGAAAGAAGAAGAGGGGAAGACCTCGTAAAGGCTTTCTAGACTGTAATTACAAAATGCAGAGCAACAGGGTATGAAATGCTGAAACGGATGGCTCAAGACCGAGGAACTTGGAGAGACACTTGATATAAACTTTTGATTGGGCCACTGAACCTGTCATAAACTGACAGATCACTATTGAGTATGACTGCTTTGGTGATAGTTTTTATATGTACTCTGTCCCTACAGGATCCACACGGTAGGCATGTGAAGACCTACGAGGTGAATCTGAGGGAGAAAGAGTTCAACAGAGGTCCATGGAAGCAAGATAACGTTGAGACGGAAGCGACCATGGTGATTGCTGTACCACAACCCTATGGGGGCGCCCTCATCATCGGCCAGGAATCCATCACATACCACAAAGGAGATAACTATGTAGCTATTGCACCACCCACTATTAAGGTTTGCATTCATTTTGAATTATCACAAAGGAGATTACTATGTAGCTATTGCACCACCCACTATTAAGGTTTGCATTCATTTTGAAATATCATATATCACAAAGGAGATAACTATGTAGCTATTGCACCACCCACTATTAAGGTTTGCATTCATTTTGAATTATCATATATCACAAAGGAGATAACTATGTAGCTATTGCACCACCCACTATTAAGGTTTGCATTCATTTTGAATTATCACAAAGGAGATTACTATGTAGCTATTGCACCACCCACTATTAAGGTTTGCATTCATTTTGAATTATCATGTATCACAATTATACAGTAGGCTTGCGGGTGCACCATGTGAGAGAGAGAGGGAGGATTTTTCTTGAGGGTGTGAAGTCCTGAAAAGGACTGTTGTTGTAGTCTTGAAAAAGACTGTTGGTTATCTTTCTTTTTGCTTATAGTTCTAAGGAGAACTATAGCGCTTGGAGAGGATGAGTAGCGGGAATGACTCAACATTTCAAACAGGTTGACTATCTGCGTCAGGAGTGGAGCATAGCTAAGAAAGATAACCAACATCTTTTTTATGACTACAACAACAATCCTTTTCAGGACTACACACCCTCAAGAAAGATTACAGAGAGTCCTTTTCAGGACTCCTCAATCCTCCTACAAGCCGATACTTACAAGCAGCATCATTTTGAATTAGTTATCAAATCTTCTTATTCTGTTGTATGACAGCAGGGGGGTGTTTCACAAAGCTCCTAAGTTGGACTTAAAAATTATGGAAAACCGTTAGCATCTTTGAAAATATTTTGTAGAAGTTATTTTAAAAGGCAGAACATGATCATTCATATTTTCTATTATCAAGGAGATTTCATGTTCTTGATGTGTAATTTATGAAAAGTCTAAAATTCTTGAAAATTTTAGTTGAATATATTTTATTTTAAAGCTACAAATGGCTCTCCATAATTTTTAAGTCCAACTCAGAGTTAAGTTCGAATTAGGATCTTTGTGTAACACCCCCCTGGTCTCGTCTTATAAAGAGTAGTGTTTGATCCAAATCAATTGCAAGCCCTCCCAATCAATCGCAAGTTTGCAATGTTCTATCTCTTATGTACATATGTGCAATTGATATCAATCCCAAATAAGTTGCGATTAAAGGGAGTGTATCAAGGGAAATACTGGTTAACGCCATCTACGTCTCCTTTTGGAAAACTGCACATAAACGAATGGACTTGATTAACTGGGTCAGTGCGCTCTAGCGTTTGCGAAATAGACCGAAGTGCTCCTCACACTTCGGTTTGCGTATTTTGCATGCACGTGAATGCTGCGGTCGCGTCGTTCGTAGTCGTATAATACCCGATTGGCCCCAGGTAGGGCCACGGGAAAGACACATAGTCTCCTCATGACACACTCCCTTTAATATCAACTGTTTATAAGACAGGGCCCTAAGGTAGGCAAACCAAGGTTGGGGAGCCATACAAGGGCAACATCTGACACAGGTGGTGTTCCTTGATCTTACAAAGTTCTCAAATATGCACGTTTTTATTTCATATGAAAATACTGGTTATTGGTGGTTATTTTACCTGACTGCCAAGAGAGCATAAATGCTTGTAAGTCAGCAACCAGACGGCCAATGGCTTTAGGTCCTCTCTGAGGGAACTGGTAATGAGGATTAATGCCTTAACAAAAGGCACTAGCGCATCGAGTTGGTTTCGAACCTGGGTCAACGGATTTCGAGACCACTGCTCTACCAACTGAGCTATCGCGCCTCCTCAGCAATCACCAAACTGTGTTCAGAACATTATTTATTCACTTTGTACATTGCACTAAATGAATATTCTGGTATGGTTTCTCTTTCACAGAATAGCACACTTGTTTGTTATGGTCGCCTTGACAACAATGGATCTCGTTACCTTCTCGGCGACCTGACAGGTCGTCTGTTCTTACTCCTCCTTGACAAGGAGGAAAGCATGGACGGAGCAGCGACCGTTAAAGATCTCAAGCTGGAGTTCTTGGGAGAGGTGAGAACAATTATCAAAACCTCCGAGGAAAAATGAGAACTGTTTTAAACTCAAGAGGTTCTTAGGATAGATCTAATATACAGAGCTGCCAACCATTGCCGGAATTACTCCGTTTTTTCTTCATAAAATACGCTTTAAAAAAAAAAATTATGCCTCCGTTACGAAGTAGCCGGAGGCATTATGTTTTCGGGTTGTCCGTCCGTCCGTACGTCCCGTTCTCGTGATCGCGTTATCTCAAGAACCGACTGATGGATTCCTACCAAACTTTGGTCATGTATGTAACTTGCAGAGCCAATGAATTGGTTAGATTTAGGGCTCACAGGGTCAAAGGTTACAGGGCTCAATATGTATGCAAAAACAGCTCGTGATCGCTTTATCACAAGAACTGATTGATGGGTTCAGGCCAAACTTAGGTCATGTATGTTACTTGCAGAGCTAATTAATTGATTGGATTTTGGGGTCACAAAGTCATGAGGTCACAGATCAAAGGGTCATATATGTATATGAAAAATAGCTTGTAATCACGATATTCTGAGAACCTGTTAATGGATTACAATCGAACTTGACTTTGAAAAATTTCTTCTCCCTGCCTTTTGTACATCAAATTTCATGTTTTTCCTTCTTTCTTGTGACTGAGATAATCTACTTCCCTGAAAGCAAGGTATAGAATGCAAAATGATATTCTACTTCATATGTTATGAAGTCGGATCAAGAACACATATAAATACAAAGAAAACGAAAGAATTTTGAAATTTGATGTACAAAAGGCATGGAGAGTTGTCCACAAATGATGTCATCATATTGAATATCGCCCTCTAGTGACTAGTCATTTCAAAAAGCTTTAACTTCCTTATTCCTTGCCCGATTTTGTTCAAATTTTCACTGATTTTATTCAAATATCTTAAACTTTACAATAAAAGTAACTTAGTATGAAGGTTTAGGTTCCCTTTAACATATGACTTAAATACAGGTTTACTATTGGCTTCATTCTTGAACCCGTCTTCTAAATAATGTTTTCATACTGTATCTTATAGACATCTATAGCTGAATGCCTGACGTACCTTGATAATGGAGTGGTCTTCATTGGATCTCGTCTGGGTGATTCACAGCTGGTCCGGGTAAGATCCTCATCTTCAGGGGGGCATTTCACAAAACTTGTCATCAGTGACAAATTACAGTTTTTGTTACAAGCTACTGAAATCCTTGCTTCTGATTGGTTATCAGCAGATTTGTCACTGATTTTGGTCATTTGTCATTGAAAAAGGGCTTTGTGAAACAGGTTCCTGAAGATTAAGCAACAATAGAACGTTAAAGGGAGTGAGTCATCAGATTCCATGTGCAGAAGGCCATAATTCGCTGACACCAGACTTGGTGGAAATACCATTAATGTGTGAACAAGTCTGCACTCAGCAAACCCCTAGGCCTATCAAGAAATACCCCCTAGTCTCTTGGAGCGTCTTCAGATGAGGGAAAAGGGAAACAAATTCTTTAGCATATGGGGCAATAAATAAGGAATTGTAAGAATTACGTAAGGCTTGTTGGTCATAAAACTGAAGGTGATTGACAACACCTGTTATTAGGTAAACACTTGAATGATGTCAAATTCTCCATCAGCGGCCACTTCTATGCCTCTTTAAAGGTAAAGTTCAGTTTTGGAAACCCCCCCCCCCCTCAAAAAATGAAATGGAAGCCTTATTACCAATCATGTGAAAGAATATGTTTTGACTAATACGTAATGATACAAATTTTGCTGAGAAACCACCTACTGATTGATATATTTGGTAAAATATTATATCTATTTGGACCTGATAGATATAAGACACGTGTCATGTAGTCCCATATACATCTTTCTGTGTACAGTGCTTGTAACTTTACCAAGACTGGGCCAAATTTCTTGATTCCAGAACCTTGCAATACACACCAATACTTATATGCTAGATGATCAACCTTTTCTGATCGATTCCACAACGTTTCTTTCACAATGCAACCGCATGACCATAACTGGTTGTTATCTTTAAGATGAACACTAATTGTGAACATAGAGTAACATAATCAATTCAGTTTAGCCAGTATGAGATTAAGATTATCACTACAAAATGTACCTGTAGTGCCAAGCAGTACATGAATTTCAACAAGAGCTTTTAAGTGGACTTGGTAGTGTGAATTGAATTTTCCTCATGGACTTGTGTGTAATCCACAATTCTTTGCAGTTACGAAGTTCTTTTACAATTTGCTGCACAAGTATTAGTTACTATATCTTCATGTGCAAACTTTCTATAATTTGCAGGGCTTAAATTAATCCAAGGCCATGGCCGTGGATGCCCTTTTGATTGGCCTCAATTCCCCTCTCATTGGCCTTGGAGATTTTTTGTGCCCTTTCCAATTCTTCCTACTTGTGCTGTAATATAAGAATGTGCCCTACAGAAAAGTGGCCTTGCCCTAAAAATATTGAAATTTAAGGCCTGAATTTGTATTGGTCTTTCTAGGGCTATATTGTCCGAAGGTCTTGTTTATTTGTGTTGTTGTTACATTCTTCAAATGCTTACTACTTTTACGAATTTGCTACCCTGGTTTTATGATGTAAGCTTTCAAATGATTTTACCATTGATAATTACAAGGCTAGGGTTAGGGTTAGTATCATCACAAGTCTTTTTTTTTTATATAGTGGTACGGAGTGCAGTTTTATTAATCAGCAAAGGATGGTTAGGCCATAGCAGAGTATTCAAGCTGCCACATTCAAATATAGAGTATAGATTACATCCACTAGACCATAATTTCTAGTCAGTAAACAGAAACATGCCCACTTTACATGTTTGGAGTGTTTATTAATCATAAAATCCATTTTGTCTTACAGTTGAACACAGAATCAGATGAGAGTGGATCCTATGTCACTATGATGGAAACTTTCACCAATCTAGGACCTATCGTAGACATGGCTGTAGTAGACCTAGATAGACAAGGCCAGGGCCAGGTAAGATAACCTCTAGTAGACCTTGATAGACAGGACCAGGTAAGATGGCCTCTAGTAGACCAAGATATACAAGACCAGGACCAGGAATGAAGGCCTCTAGTAGACATGGCTGTAGTAGACCTTGATAGACAAGACCAGGGCCAGTTAAGATAACCTCTAGTAGACCTTGATAGACAAGACCAGGGCCTGGTAAGATGGCCTCTAGAGGACTTGGCTGTAGTAGACCAAGATAGACAAGACCAGGGCCAGTTAAGATAACCTCTAGTAGACCTTGGTAGACAAGACCAGGGCCAAGTAAGATGGCCTCTAGTAGACATGGCTGTAGTAGACTAGATAGACAAGATTAGGGCCAGTTAAGATAACCTCTAGTAGACCTTGGTAGACAAGACCAGGGCCAGGTAAGGTGGCCTCTAGTAGACATGGCTGTAGTAGACTAGATAGACAAGGCCAGGGTCAGGTAAGATAACCTCTAGTAGACCTTGATAGACAAGACCAGGGCCAGTTGAGATGGCCTCTAGTAGACATGGCTTTAGTAGACCTTGATAGACAAGACCAGGGCCAGGAATGAAGGCCTCTAGTAGACATGGCTGTAGTAGACCATGGTAGACAAGACCAAGGCCAGGTAAGGAGGCCTCTAGTAGACATGGCTTTAGTAGACCCAAATGGACAAGGCCAGGGCCAGGTAAGATGGCCTCTAGTAGCCGTGGCTGTAGTAGACCTTGATAGACAAGACCAGGTCCAGGTTAGATGGCCTCTAGTAGACATGACTGTAGTAGACCTAGATAGACAAGACCAGGTCCAGGTTAGATGGCCTCTAGTAGACTTGGCTTTAGTAGACCCAGGTGGACAAGGCCAGGGCCAGGTAAGATGACAAGATTAATGATATTGGAAAATCATTAAAATCTGATTTCTTGCACCAAGCCCATTGTGGACACTTTTATTGATACAGCAAACGTTGTCATGGTTGTATAGCAACACAATACATCTAACATGGTGCAATTAAATCATTAATTCCTATTCTATTAGCTATTTGCATAAATTACTGAACATTTGTAGATTGATATAACTGACAAATTTATTTAAGGGCTCTAATTATAGTACATTTTCTGTAATATTGACGTGATATTATCCAGCTAAACCCATAAGATGAGAAGAATGTTGTTAATGTGTTCTTTATTTTTAATCCCTAAATTTAAGAAAACACTATTTTGATTTATTTTCTGCCGTTCATTATCTTTAGTTGGTAACCTGTTCAGGAGCGTACAAAGAGGGTTCACTTCGGATCATTAGAAATGGAATTGGAATCCATGAACATGCCAGCATTGATCTACCGGGTATCAAAGGTACAGTATGTCTCTCTCTCTCTCTCTCTCTATCTTCTTATCTCTCTCTCTCCTTATCTCTTTCTCTCTCTCTCTCTCTCTCTCTCCTTATCTCTCTCTCTCTCTCTCTGTCCTTCTCTCTCTCTCTCCTTTTCTCTCTCTCTCTCTATCTCTCTCTGCCCTTATCTCTCTGTTTTTCTTTCTCTTTGTTTTTCTATCTCTTTCAACTCTTTGTGCCCTGACAGCATTCTCTTTCTTCATTTCCAACTGTGTGTATTATATCCGGAAACCCAAGTTTTCTTTCAATTTAAAGGAATTGTTTAACAATGTTAAATCTGAGACGCACGACCCTACGTGTTATCAGTGTCTGTAATATGGTGTAATATTGAAACCCTAAAAAAATTGCGCTTAAAAATGAGCAAGAAGTGCCTCAAAAAAGTAAAAATCTTTGAGTTTTACCATACTCATTTTCCCCAATAGACTGAAGTGTTATGAAAACTGTTTGGCAAACGGTTTTCAAAATTTGTAATTCCAATCATAAATATCTTGATAATAAGACAAGCGATCGGCTTGTAAAAGTCATGGGGTTCCTGACAGACCTAAAGGTTTATAATTATGATTGCAGCATGAGCTAAATCCAGGATTTTGTTTCAGAATTTGAGACAAAGTTACCGGATGGCTTTAAACTCTTTCTTCATTTCCAACTGTGTGTATTATTATCTGGAAACCCAAGCTTTTCTTTCAGTTTAAACCTGCTCCTAGTGCACACAAACCCTAAAATATCAATCTAAACCCTGTGTGTAACAAAGTTATTGTGGAGTCGTTGAACATGCGGCTGACTTACACGGGGGATATCGAATCACCACTCAAAAACTAGCCTGTCCAAATTTCTGTTTAGATTCTGAGGAAAATTGTTCTGTCATCTTTAGTTTTAAAAACAACATTGTTACTAACTTACTATTATTTGTAACAAGTTCACAAGCACTTCAACTGCGCCTCGTAATAATATGAAAGTATTTCCGAACGCTGAAATAATCTGATCTGATCTGGTTTTCTTACAAAAAGCATAAAACAGCCACACAAAAAGCCATTATTTTTTTTTTTTTTTTTTTTTTTTTTTTTTTTGTCTTAAAAATAGGGGTGGGCCTTATACACAGAGATTTATGGTAATGCCCTTATCCCATTAAATCTCATTTATCTTTCTCCTACCACTTGCAATCTTTAGTTAATATTCGCGATACGCTGCATAGCCCTTTGAAATTGTGTCTGGATTAGCATGTGTGCCCTTGCTGGAATGCTCCCAAGGGAGTGGAGAATGTGCAGAATTGTTATTTATTCCAGTGACCGGGGTTGTAATGATACTGTAAGTGCTTTGGTCAGTTAATGCTAAAGTGCTTTATAAGAAACAGATATTATTATTGTTATCGTTATTATTATTATTATGAATATACTATTTGGTGTTTTCTTCTCTGGGTAAGTATTTATCTTTCTATACACGTGGATATATTTTGTACCATTGTAGACCTTCAAGAATTCAGATTTGATATGGAAACAATCATTTTAACTAATGACTATTTGTTTCATAACAGGTATCTGGCCATTGAAGGTGGATATGAACTCTCAATTTGATGATACATTGGTACTCTCTTTCGTTGGTCAGACCAGGTGAGTTTGATATATTCATTATGTCACAACAAGGTCATAGGTGACACAAGGTCAGAGGTGACACAAGATCAAAGGATAGGTGACACAAGGTCATAAGGTGACACAAGTTCATAGGTGACACACGGTCATAGGTGACACAAGGTTTTAGGTGTCACAAGGTCATAGGTGACACAAGGTCAGAGGTGATGCAAGGCCATAGGGGACACAAGGTCATAGGTGACACAAGGTCATAGGTGACACACGGTCATAGGTGACACAAGGTCAGAGGTGACACAAGGTCAGAGGTGATGCAAGGTCATAGGTGACACAAGGTCAGAGGTGACACAAGGTCATGGGTGACACTAGGTCATAGGTGACACTAGGTCATAGGAGACACAAGGTCATATGGGACACAAGATCATAGGATAGGTGACACAAGGTCATAGGTGACATTAGATTGTACAATCCTACCTTCCTGTACTTCACAACAGTATAAAAATACCTGTAACATTCACAGTTGTAGGTTTTAATCAAAATCACCCCTTCACCAGCAGGTCTTCTGCTCATACACATAATTAACATACATGAATATGTATAAGGTTTACAACAATTATCACTCGTACAGAGCTATTAACATCCTTCAACTGATATGTTTGGTGTCTTGTCACCAACTTGTATTTGTGTTTAATCTTTAAATCCTGTTTACCTTTATGCAGGGTGCTAATGTTGAATGGCGAGGAAGTAGAAGAAACAGAATTACAGGGTTTTGATGGCGAACGTCAATCATTCTACTGTGGTAATGTCTCACACAATCAAATCATTCAGGTAAGTTACTCTATCATTAGTTCCTATCTTTATCCTGTTTAAAGATAAAGTTGAGTTCTGGGGGGTGTTTCACAAAGATTCTAAGTAGAACTTAACTCTAAGTTGGACTTTAAAATTATGGAAAGCCATTAATAGCCTTATAATAAATATATTCAAAAACAAAAATTGAAGTATTTTAGACTTTTGATAAATTTTACATCAAGAACATGAAATATCCCATGACAATAGAAAATATGAATGATTTGAATCAACATTTTATGCCTTTTAAAATAACTTATACAAAATATTTTCATAGATGCTAACAGCTTTCCATAATTTTTAAGTCCAACTTAGGATCTTTGTGAAACACCCCCCTGGTCATGCGATTGCATATAACCACCATTCATTCATTCATTGTGAAAGAAATGTTGTGGAATCAATCAGAAATGGTTGATCTGCTAGCATATAAGTATTGGTGTGTACTGCAAGGTTCTGAAATCATCAAAATGATAAGGAATTTGGCCCAGTCTTGGTAAAGTTAAAAGCACTGTACACAGAAAGAAGTATATGGGACTACACGAACATGTGGCATAAAAATCTGTCCCGATTTTTATGATGTTACATGCCATATTTAGAATATTAAGGCATTTAAAGAAGCCATGCTTTTCAGGGAACATTTTTTATCTGATGTTCTTCCACACTTGCATAATACAATGATAATGCTCACAATTTTTTTTTACCTCTTCCCAGAACTCAACCTTCTCTTTAAAAGTATCCAAATGATCCATGCCCATGAGTTCAGCATGGCTCGGGGTATTTTAACATATTACCCAAGAGGGTAAAAAAGGAAATTATATTTACGGACTTCAAACATGTATTTTTAGGATCAGGACTCTTCATATCTTTGAGAAATGCCAAATTTGGAGCATAATCTATCTCTTTATTTATTTGCCAGATATAAATACTACTAGTTTTATTGTGAACTACAGTGTGACCCAAAAAAAACGAAACAGAGAATTATTGATGCTTTATCATAACTTAATCACAATTATAATTAATAAATGACACATATTTGTAAAGCTTAGATCCTCCTCTTTCATTTGATGCAACTCATATGATGCATATTTCACGCATGAGTGATTAAAAGCAATTTGAAGGAAGGAAACCATAAAGTCATTTGGCGGGCGGTATATGAATTTCGAAGAAAAATTCACATTTCTAGAAAGTTCATTTTCTGCTCTTTCATATGACACCTCAATCAGGAAAAATGAGCAAGGAATAACAAAGTTCTGTTTGTTTAAAGTGATGCTTGCATTTCCATAATTTGATTTAAAAAGTTTGTTTTCACTGGCTGCCTGCCGTAGCAACGAGCAAAAATGACAAAAGACTTAACTCTGTTTCATTGACAACGGAGTTAAGTCTTTTGTCAATTCTGCTTGTTGCTACGGCAGGCAGCCAGTGAAAACGAACTTAAAAAAAAAAAATTAGTCTACACACTGTATAACTATACTTAAATAGCTTTATACACACTGCTGCGTATGATGTACTTAAAATTGGATAGTAGTGGAAATTCTTGCATGCTTTTTAATGAAAAAAACAGTCTTTAGGTCATATCCAAGGAATAGAAAAACTCATAAGGCATTAGTACATTGATTTGGTTTCAAACTGGAGCATTATAAACAAAGCCACTACCGCCACCCATCCTCTCCAAGCGCTATAGTTCTCCTTAGAACTATAAGCTAAGAAAGATAACCAACAGTCTTTTTCAAGACTACACCAACACTCCTTTTCAGGACTACACACCCTCAAGAAAGATTACCGAGAGTCCTTTTCAGGATTCCTCAATCCTCCCTCTCTCTCTCACATGGTGCACCCGCAAGCCTACTGTATATAAACCAACTGTTTCTCTATCTTTGTAGATCACTGGTGCGTCTGTGCGTCTGGTGAGTACACCTACCAAGCGCATGGTGAGTGAGTGGCGCCCCCAATCAGGCAAGAACATCAGCGTAGCATCGTGTAACAGCAAGCAGGTGGTGTGTGCTGCAGGCTCGGACATCTTCTATCTTGAGATCTTTGAAGGAGAAGTAAGACAAGTTAGGTGAGTGATATCTTTGACCTCATGGTAACTACAGAGATGCCAACGTTACGGTTTTGCTACATGTACGTACTCAATATCGAGTTCAGCTAGCCATCATTTTGAAATGAGACGTAATTGTCATGCAGCGCAGTAGACTTTAGATGGCAGCATGCAGCAGAGAGGGAAAAAATTAGCGGGCCTTAGATCACGTGATTTTTTCCTCTCTGCATGCCGCATGCTGTCGTCTTTAGTCTACTGCGCTGCATGACAATTACGTCTCATTTCAAAATGATGGCTAGCTGAAGTCGATATCGAGAGTGTAGCTCATGAAATATCATCATTTCTGTAAGATATTATGAATATCTATAGTATTATTTGTCAAAGCAAATTATTATTTTACAGTAACTTTGTTGAATTAGAGTCTTACGTGATGTTTTTTAATTGGTTTAATGCTTATTGTTCTGATCAGCTCGGATGACGGTGTAGGGATGTAAACACGCATATCAGTGTGAAATTTAATTTTGAAAAACCCGAAACTCAAAAATTCAAACCCGGGTTATGGCGCGACGGTCAGGGACCGGGCGGGGAACCGTTTTGACTCGGGCCTAGACAGATATGATAAGTCAAGACTCGCATAAATAATACATTTTTTTGTCAATCCAAGTTTGATGTCACAGCTCAAACACTATGCTGTACACCGTTATTTGGACAAAGCTATCACCTAAGTTTGAATCTTTGAATTCTAGTACCGTGACCATGGAGCATGAGGTAGCGTGTTTGGACATCACACCGTTGACCGGTGACTTCACTGACCTCTGTGCTGTAGGTCTATGGACGGACATCTCTGCACGTATCCTCAAAATACCCACCATGGAATCCATGCATGTGGAGCTACTAGGAGGAGGTGAGATATTGTACTAACAGGCCTGATAAAAACCTGATTTTAAAGCCCCACTTTCCTAGTTGTAGCTACTTGCTTCCTCTATATAGAAAACTTCCCAATCGGTGCCTGTTGGTCCCCTATGATCCTCTTTTTCTTATGTTAGTTGAGAGCTGAGTTGATGAGATAGCCACCTGTCAGTGACCTGGCTGGGTGGTATAATCCCTTCTGGCCCAGTAGTTATTGACGGTCTTTAAATCGGTTTCCACATTTTTTTTTTTTTTTTTTTTTTTTTTTTTTAATAAACCCGGTTTTCCCCTTATTTTCTCTCTTCCCTATTTTCTTACTCAAAAGGGGGGGGGGGGGGGGGGGGGTGGGAATGTTGTTAGATGCATTTTTCCCCCCGAATGATCTTCTTCTTTCTTTTTTTTACTCAAGGGGGACGTGGTTGAGGGAAGAAAAAAAACAGGTTAAATTTTATGCACCAGTCATTTGATATAATATGTCAGTCACAGATTTCAGAACCATTCGTTTCAACAATCTTTCATACATTTGTTAAGAGTAATATTCTATTCTATACGTGTTTCCTCAGAAATCATCCCTAGGTCTATCTTATTGATGACCTTTGAAGGTCAGAACTACATCCTGTGTGCACTCATACACAAGGCAGTGAAGCAATGGCTTGCTTGCATGTACAAAGCACTATAACGGTAGCGTGCATGCAGCCTCATGGCAGGCTATGAGTTAAGAGTAATATTCTATTCTATGTGTTTCTCTAGAAATCATCCTTAGGTAGATCTTATTTTTTTTTTTTTCATATTTTTCCCTCCACAGGGATTTTATTGATTTTCATTTGAAACACATACAAAAATATATATTCAAGGTAATTTACATAATAACATAAATAAAATAAAATTGGCTTTTCAAGATACAAGTATTGTTGAGCTGTTGAGTTAACAGAAAACTAACAAATCAATAATTCATTTCTAACACTCATGGAAGTGAATTTATTATTTCTACAATTCGAATTTGCAATATACTTTTCGTTTTTGAAGTAATTTATGATCGAAACTCTAATATTATCAAAGTCGGGCAATTGTTTCTTTATTTTGCAAGTATACACCATCTGTCGCACCACAATCAGTATACAATTCAATGCATAATTATTTGAACCTTTTAAACCAAATAATTTATCTTGTAATGAAAATGTTAATCTATTTCCGGTTCCAGTATTAATCCAGTGTTCTAACCTACCCCAAATATTTTAACATGCGTACAATCACATAGCAAATGTATAACTGTTTCAATCTGTTCATTACAAAATGTACATTCTTTTCTTGGGACTAAATTCATTTTAAACAGTAGATCGTTCGTATATAATATGCGTTGCAAGATTTTAAACTGAAACCATCGTAAGCCCACATCAATGGTACAATTAAATCCAATAGAACAATATGTTTCCCAACTCTTATCATTCAGGTCGAAAATGCATTTCCATTTAAGAAAACTTTTACATAGTCCTTTTCTTCTCTTTAATAAAATTGCATAGATATGTGAACATCCTTTAATACGTTTCATAACAAATGCTATTGTATCTGGGAAAAGAGGTTGTGGCACATTGTTAATAATAGTACAATTGTTAAACCCTTGTCTAATTGCATCGCATAATCCACGATAAAAAAGAAAATTTATTTGAATATTATACTTTTCTTGAAAGTGTTCCAGAGAGAAAAAATCACCATTTGTGTCTAAAATATCGTTAACAAAACGAACTCCCTTTTGACACAATTTTTTATTATATATTGAGCTATTGCCTATTTTAATGTAATCATTATTCCATAAGGGTTGGCAAGAAATGTTATCATAATGCATGGACAAGAACGTACTATAAGCCATGAACATTTCTTTCCAAAAAAGGTTCTTTGTTTTACCTGCTAGTTCTCGAAAATAATTGTTTCCCATATATAATTTTAAATCTTGCCGTTCAGGCAAGAAAGATTGCAAAAGACAGAGGATATTGCTATCTATTGAGCCAATTACTAATCTCTTAATCCAGGAAATTTTTAATGATTGGCAATGTGTGTATATATCTATCATTTTAACCCCTCCGTCTGAGTAACTTTGTGACATTTGATTTCTACTTATTTTATCAGGTTTCTCCCCCCATATAAATCTATAAAAGTGAGAATTTATATCTTTCAAAAGATCTTCACCAGGATTAGGGAGGGACAAAAAAAGGTAGTTTAATTTGGATACCAACAATGACTTGACGACAGTGATTCTTCCAAGAACAGTTAAATATTGTCTTAACCACGATGTCATTTGACTTTTTATTTCTTTAAATTTTTCATTATAATTGTGAATTATCAATTTGGGCAAATCCGTACAAAAGTCTATACCTAAATATCTGAAATAATCATCAAACACCCAATTTAGATTTCTATTCAAAAGAACACCATCTTTCTTGTTTTTAAATCCTCCAATCCAAATCGCATGTGTCTTCTGTATATTAACTTTTAAACCAGACATTGCATTATATTTATCTAAAATGTTTAATGCACTGTTTAATTCCATTACTGACCCGTTCAATGTTAGAACAGTATCGTCTGCATATTGAATTATTTTAAGTTGTCTACCAGGTAAGCTCAAACCAACAATGGAATCGGAATTTCTAAACAAGAGACCTAGTATTTCCGCGCATAATAGAAAGATAAGAGCTGACATGGGATCTCCTTGACGACAACCTCGCTCTATTGAAAATCTTGGAGACAGGTGTCCATTGATTAATACACAGGATTGAGCATTTTCATAGAATACATTAACCCATTTTACAATAGAGGGACCAAACTTAAAAAAGTGCAATACTTTTCTAATAAAATCATGAGAAATAGAATCAAATGCTTTTTCAAAATCTATAAGCAGCAATTAACCAGGAATGTCATTGATATCAGTATACAATAATAAATCATATAACAAACGGATATTCTCTCCAATGAAGCGCCCAGACATAAAGCCTTTCTGGTTTTCATGTATAAGAAAAGGAAGTACGTTCTTTAATCTGTTTGCTATACAAGAGGAACCTAATTTATACACCACGTTCAATAAAGATATGGGTCTCCAATTTTTCAAATAATGTCTATCTTTTTTTCCTTTGGGAATTAAAGTGATGACTCCTAACTTCTGTGTATAGGACATTCCGGATGAATATGCAGAGTTCAAATATCTCACTAAAAATATGTGTAATTCTTTCCAAAAATGTTTGAAAAATTTGACGGTGTATCCATCTAGACCAGGTGATTTATTATTTTTCATATTTATAAGTGCTTGATGAACTTCATCGATGGAGAGTTCTCCTTCGAGCTTCTGTGACATTGAAGCGGTTAATTTACTTATATCAAATCTGGATCATTTAATATTGTATTTAAGTCTACATCAACAACAGGATTATTTGTATACAATTTAGAGTAGAATAATACAACTTCTGATATAATATCATCATGCGATGTTATCTCCTTGTTTTCAGTAGTGACCAATTTGCATATACGTTTATTCACAGCATTTCTTTTTTCTAAATTCAAAAAATATTTTGATGGTTTCTCGCCATATTCCATCCATTTAATTTTAGACCTCATCTTTATTCCTTCCATTTTTTCTTTTCTTAGTGATTCTAACTGAACTTTCTTTTCATTTAATATGACTAAAGCTCTATTTTTGTCCGTTTTTGATATCAATGCCTTCTCCAAAGCTATGATTTCTTTCTCTAAATCATATTCTAAATTTACCAATCTTTTTTTCTTTCTGGCTGAGTAGAAAATTGTTTCACCTCTAATTATGGTCAACAACGTATCAAAAAATAACTGATCATTTACAGTAAATTTATATTGTGTATCTTGTCCTTCTACCTCAAATCTATTTGCATTGTTATTATATGGGACAGAATAGGTCTCAATCGTTTGTTGAATGACATCTTTAATTTTTTCCACATAACTATCATCCCTTAACAACGAATTATTGAATTTCCAGTAACCTCGACCTACCATACATTGATTTAAATCCAAAGATAGCTTGACCAGGGAATGATCGGATCTGTACCCAGGTAAAATTTCTATTTTATTAACGAGTGACAGTAGTTCAGTGGAGACCAAAAAATAATCCAATCTAGCCGCCTTAAAGGGAGTAGGTTGCCGCCATGTAAACATTTTTTCCAGGACATGTAATTCTCTCCATGGGTCTATCAAATCTAAATCATTCTTCATTTGATCGACTTTTTTCTTGGCATTAGGATTATTAAGGCGAATATAATTATATGTATCTTTATCAAAATCTTGAACCAAGTTCCAATCTCCGCATAAAATTGTTAATGGATTATCAAAATCCAAAGCAAGTCTTTCAATATCTGCATAAAAACTAACACTATCGTGATTAGGACCATACAAGGATATTAATGTTATGTCATAGCTATATATCTGTAGGTCTAACGCAACAAAATTCCCTTCTTTTGATCGCTCAATCTTATTCACATTAAATTGTACCCCTTCCCCAAACAAAATAGCAACACCTCTGGCATTTGACGCTTTATGGCTGAAAAAACAATTATCTCCCCAAAATCGTTTTATAGAAGCTTCTTCCTCAGCTACAAAATGTGTATCTTGCAAGCAACATATTTGGAACTTTTTTAATTAACAAATTCTAAAACATCATTTCTTTTTTCGCGATTTCCCAAACCTCGACAGTTCAAAGAAATTATATTAAAACTAGCCATTGAATATTAACTTTACCTCAGTACTATGAAAATCAAATCCTGTGAAGTTTTTCTTTTGTAACATCAAACAAATAACACTGACAGCACTAAGCACTAGTTCACCGAAACAGCTTACACTGCAACACCTATGACAATTACAGCGATGTCTAGCACAAACGAAACTACAAAACAAAAACACATATGTCTCTGTTAGCGAGACAAGACGCAATACCAAGAAAGCCACAGGTGTCCACATATTTGCTGTGGATCCCCGAAACCCCACCAATCCAACTAAGAGGGAAAATGTATCAAACGTTTCTCCCTTGAAAAGAAGGCACACCGGCTTAAATCACACACAATCCTGCTTATTGTATGATAACTTTTGTCATGTCCGGGAAATGTATACACTTAATTATTTTACATATTTACAAATGTGCGACCTCCTATGATTCACACGGGTAACCTAAACTAAACACAAACTCCCCTTTCACAGAAGAGGTCAAATATAATAAAAAGATCGATAGCTTGACCGTAGTACTTTTGCGGAAACGACTAGCCCTTGATCATAGTCTTAATTCGTATCATACATGTATATACATTGCTATATGATATTCCTTTAACCTGGCTTTGGATAACAAGATATAAAAACAAAGATAATTAAAATATTAACCTCCATATTCGGATTTATAATGATTATCAACGTATTTAAAATTATACAGTGGAACTGCTTCTGAGAATTAAAGAACAAGAAAACTGTATGATCTCTTGCCTTTCATAAGTCTCACATCAATATTCTGATATCTTCAAAAAAAGAATTAATCTGTGTAGAACACGTTGCTTTCATATGATTAAAACTATTGATTAAATAACGTCTTCTCTTTGAAAGAGACAGCAATTTTTTATTTTAATAAGAACCAATTTCTCTTCGTACCTTTTTCCAGAGGTACAAGAGAACAAAACATTCAGCTTCGTTCAAGAAGATTGTCATTTTTCTTATATGCATCCATAATAACAAGGAAAAAGATCATTAAAAATGCTCTTATATCTATTCTTATTACATGTAAATCTTTAGCAGATTATGTAATAGACATACACTAGTACTCAACATCAGTTTTTAGGCATCCAGCCAATAGCAACGCCAATAAGTACTAAACACATAAGTTGTATATTATATATATAACACGAGCAAACGATGGGTACTCTTTTATGATCTTGATCTATGTCACAGAAGTTGCTGATTGTTTCACTTTACCCTGATATATTGATTACATTAGAAAATCAAAGATATATCAAATTTAAACACTCACATTCAGATTTGCAATACTTGCTACCTTATTCGAAATTGTATAGTATTACTGGTGCTTCACAACATAAAGAGAAATCAATTTATATGATCTCATATCTTTCCAAAATATCTATATATTATCACTTAACAAAAAGAATAGTGCTGTATCGATACACATCGCTTTATTGACAACCTTTGAAGGTCAGAACTACATTCTGTGTGCACTCATACACAAGGCAGTGAAGCAATGGCTTGCTTGCATGTACAAAGCACTATAACGGTAGCGTGCATGCAGCCTCATGGCAGGCTATGAGTTAAGAGTAATATTCTATTCTATGTGTTTCTCCAGAAATCATCCCTAGGTCGATCTTATTGACGACCTTTGAAGGTCAGAACTACATCCTGTGTGCCCTCGGTGACGGATCACTCTTCTACTTTCAGCTTAATGCAGAGACAGGTATGTATCCTCAAACTTTCCTAATCTTAACACAACTTAGCACAGCTGCCAACCATCACGTTTTTTCACGGAATTACTGTTTTTTCCTCCCAATTATGGTAGTACGTTTTTTCATCAAATTTTTTTTTTTTTAATTTTTTTATTTATTATTATTTTTTTTTTTTCTTTTTACATACGCACCTCAAACAACTGCCCTAAATTTTTTATTTGATCACAAATTCAATAGAAAACTAAGGTTAAAACATACTTCAAAACATAATTGAAGAGAAAAATATTCTCAAAAAGAATGAAATGCTGATAAAAATACCTACTTGTGAAAAAACTATAGGTCCTAATATGGAAAAAATAGCATGAGGAATGGACATTACTACATCGGAAGTGTGTCGCGCGTGGTTTTAAGTTTTGTTTTAATGAATTCCTTTTTTTGGTTGACAAAGTTGGCAGCTCTGATTTAGAGAATTAGAGGTTTTTAGGTTTTTTGTCTTCAAAGATTGTTCTCAAATGATGCTTTTAGTGGTATTCAAAAGCCTCTGAATCTAAATCTTGCCATTTTGCGCTTTGAGGCACATGTAGTGAAAATTGTAAAAAATGCACTCTTTTGCCCGAGAGACTGACAGAATGGGATTTTATTGGCTGAACATGTATCCTCGAAAACCTTCTGCCTCAACAGACGATACACGATACCATCACTCACAACTTGATTCTGAATCTATGTAATGTTTGTGACCCTTTGTTTTCTTGTTTATCCATTATTATCATTTGCATTATAAACTGCTCAATTTATAGACACACATATACCCTAATTAAAGATGAAGGTGAGTTCTGGTCATCCAATTGCATTGTGGAAGAAAATGTGTGGAATGGATCAGAAAAAGTTGATCATCTGGCATGCATAAAGAATTGGTGTGTACTGCAAAGTTCTGGAGTCATCAAAATCATAATAAATTTGACCCAGTCTTGGTAAAGTAATAAGCACTGAACACAGAAAGATGTATATGAGACAACACAAATGGTGTCGGGGCTAGTACTAATTGATTTCCTAATCTTTCTATGCTCATTACTCAGCCAGTTTACATTTTCTACCAAAATTGTTTGGCAAATGACTATTATTTGTAATCTTAAAGATGAAGTTGAGTTCTGGTCTTGCGATTGCATTGTGAAAGAAAAGGTGTGGAATGGATCAGAAAAAGTTGATCATGTAGCATTTAAGAATTGATGTTTACTGCAAAGTTCTGGAGTCATCAAAATCATAATAAATTTCACCCAGTCTTGGTAAAGTAACAAGCACTATACACAGAAAGATGTATATGTGGGACAACATAAATGGTGTCTGGGCTAGTACTAATTGATTTCCTAATCTTTCTATGCTCATTACTCTGACAGCCAGTATACATTTTCTACCAAAATTGTTTGGCAAATGACTATTATTTGTAATCTTGAACATTCAGTGTAAGTTTCGTTTGATTCTGTGAGAATTAATTTTCTTTTCTTTTTTTACCAGAAATCACCTTTATCTTTAATTATGATGATACATACAATGTTCAATCATTATGAAATATTATAATCTTGAGCTTTATACTTTGATGTATTTTATATTACCGTATTTGCCGGCGATAAGGCCGCAGCGCCGTAAAGGTCGCACCCCCGATTTTGACATTTAAAAAAAAAAAAAATCTTTTTGTCGAAGTCGGGATTTGATCTCTTGCATATAAATGTTGATTTGACTCAAATCACTGCCTCAGACCGCTCGGCCATCCCGCACTGATGCCAGCTTATGTAGTTTTTTGTGATGTATACATTGCGCCTCTCTCTTGTGTATTGAAATGGATTCAAAATAGCGACTTCGCGTGCGGGATGCCTCGCGGCAGCTCCATTAAACAGGCCCTTCTTTTACTTTTGCAATGCATTGGCACGAACTTAGATCAAGATTTATCGGCAGATGTTGTTTTTGGAAGTTTATTTTCGTCTTCATGTCAACAATGCAAGATAAAATTGTCGGTAAGATGTGTGGAAATGTATAGTTATTGTACCGTTCATAGATCTAGTCCCATATGTGCAAATTCGTGCTGGTTTTGACTTACTTTTAAAAAAAATTTTTACTCTTTCGCCGCATAGGCCGCACCCCAACTTTTTGATATTTTCTCTTCCAAAAATACTGCGGCCTTTACGCTGGCAAATACGGTAGGCCGTTTCTCTTCACAATTTGTATCATCACGTATTAGTTAAAACATATTCTTTCACATGATTGGTGATAAGAGCTTCCTTATCATTTTTTGAGAGGGGGGCGTTTCCAAAACTGGTCTTTACCTTTAATGAGTAATAGAGAGAATCATTTCATATTAGATAACCGGTGGAAGTATTGTCATCTGTCAGATAAAAGGTTCAATCTCATGAATCTCAGAATACCGCCCCTGGTTCTATGGTAGGTTGTATAACAAATAGAAAGGATGGACATTCCAGGGAAATGTTTCATAAAGCCGTACGTAAAGTTGCGCATGACTTTACGAACGACTTGTATATGAAGTGCCAGATAGGATGCCCAATTTTTTTTCTGATATTTCCAATAACCTCAATTAAATTATGGCCAAAAATATACTTTGCATTAGAAATGTTTGTTATCATAAGAATGTTAATCTACATCTGCACAGTTTATTTAATAATGATTGAGCATCCCATTTGGCTTTTCATATACAAGTCGTTCGTAAAGTCATGTATAACTTTAGGAACAGCTTTATGAAACACCCCCCTGGTTCTAGGTTGTTTAACAAATAGAAAGGACTGACGTTCCTGGTGAGGTTAAATGTCGGATTGAAACGACTGACAGCCTTTGTTTTTTTTTAAAGGATATATGACGGATAGGAAGAAGGTGATTCTTGGCACCCAACCAACCGTCTTGAAGACGTTTAAATCTCTCTCAACGGTAAACGTGTTTGCCTGCTCGGACAGACCAACGGTGATCTACTCCAGCAATCACAAACTGGTTTTCTCCAATGTCAATCTAAAGGAGGTCAGCTACATGTGTCCTCTCAATTCTGATGGATACCCAGACAGGTATGGTACCTCAATAGGCAGAGCTGCCAACCATTCCGTTTTTTGCCGGAACTACTCCATTTTTCCTCCAAATTACGGTATTACATTTTTTCTTCCTAAAATATGTTTTGTTTTTTGTTTGTTTTTTACAACAACTGCCTTAATATGTTGATTTCATCACAAATTCAATAGAAAACTAAGTTTAAAACGTACTTGAATACACACTTGAAGAGAAAAATATTTTCAAAAAGAATGAAATGCTGATAATACCAACAACAATAAAAAAAAAAAAAATACCTGCTTGTATGGAAAAAAACAGCATGAGAAATGGACATTTCTGCATTGAAAGTGTGTAGCGCGTGGTTGGAAGTTTTGTTGTAATGAATTCCTTTTTTTTTTTTGCCATCATGGTTCCCTTTTTTGGTCGCACAAGGTTGGCAGCTCTGAATAGGCCATTTTTCATAATGTTAACCAAATTTTTGTATATGGCTATATGAAGCATTTAATATTCAGAATTAAAACTGCATATATTAGTTGTTGCTAGGTAGGACAAACTTTTTTTTTTTTTTTTTTAAACCCATATAAACCGCGGAATCGCAGAGAAGCATGTACAAGTAAACCCCAGCAACCCCAACAAAAACTTTGCTTTATTATTTTCTCATTTAATTTTAAAGAAAGAGCAAACCCAAGGCCACTGGTAGTGTCAAGTTTTAGTGAAAATCTGATTTTTTTTTTTAGGATACTCAGTCTTTTTTTGTGTATGTGAAGAGGTTGGCATCTCTGTCACATGTTTTCGAATGTTCAGCCCTTGTATTACTGTTTGTTTATTTTACAGCTTGGCTCTATGCAATGACACCACTCTGATGATCGGAAGCATCGATGAGATTCAGAAGCTTCACATCCGCACCGTGCCTCTGGGAGAGACGCCGCTGCGCATCACGTATCAGGAACCTTCACAGACCTTCGGGATCATCTCAACGAGGACCGATGTGGTGGACTCCTCGGGTACAACGGCCTCCATGGGCCAGACCAGACAGAGCGCTAGCACCAGTGCTCTTAACATCACAAAGAGTGGAGGAAACAAAGGGATGGCAGGCCAAGCTGGAGGCAGTGGGGAAGGTTCCTCATTCGGAGATGAAGTGGAAGTCCACTCACTGCTCGTCATAGACCAACATACTTTTGAAGGTATGGGACTAATAATTAATAAAGGACCAACATACTTTTGAAGGTATGGGACTAATAATTATAGAAATAAAGGACCAACATACTTTTGAAGGTATGGGACTGATCATTGTCCAAGTATAGACTAGTTACGTCACTGATCATGATATGAATACACATTTTAATATAAAAAAAAATTACACGTCAAAAGATTTTATTGCAACTCTCTCATTCCGACATTGATGCTTATTTGTCAGCACTAAAGAGGAAGTCCACCCTGGTAGTTGGATTGATGGATGCAAAAAACGCAAATTGGCAACTCTAAAAAAAACTTTCAATTGCACATATACCTTGGCTGTTATCATTGCAAATTTGTTTTTACAAAACCCTATGAATAAATCAATTCCTTCATCAAGTAATAAAAAAAAAAATGAAAATATGTGATATTTTCTTTACAGAGCAAAAAGAAAAGAGGACATTGCAAGAAATATCACAACATTTCCAATTTGTTTATGAGTGATTTTGTTATAATAATAAGAATGAATTTTTGTTTATTGTTTGCAGTGCTCCACGCTCATCACTTTGGTTCATCTGAATATGCAACAAGTCTGATCTCATGTAAGCTGTGTAATGATCCCAACTGGTACTACATTGTTGGTCTCGCTAACGTTCATCCGGATGAAGCCGAGCCGAAAAGTGGAAGGATTGTCGTCTTCCAGTACAGTGATGGTAGGATTGATAATAATAGGAATAATATTGTTGTAGTAGAAGTAGTTGTAGTGGTAGTAGTATTATTAGTAGAAGTAGAAGTAGTAGTAGTAGTAGACGTAGTAGTAGTAGTAGTAGTAGTAGTAGTATTAGCAGTAGTAGAAGTAGTAGTATTAGTAGTAGTAGTAGTAGTAGTAGTAGTAGTAGAAGTAATAGTAATAGTAGTAGTAGTAGTAGAAGTAGTAATAGTAGTAGAAGTAGAAGTAGTAATAGTAGTAGAAGTAGAAGTAATAGTAATAGTAGATGTAGTAGTAGTTTAAGTAGTAGTAATAGTAGTAGTAGAAGTAGTAGTAATAGTGTTAGTAGTAGTAGAAGTAGTAGTAATAGTATTAGTAGTAGTAGAAGTAGTAGTAATAGTATTAGTAGTAGTAGAAGTAGTAGTAATAGTATTAGTAGTAGTAGAAGTAATAGTAATAGTATTAGTAGTAGTAGAAGTAGTAGTAATAGTATTAGTAGTAGTAGAAGTAGTAGTAATAGTATTAGTAGAAGTAGTAGTAATAGTATTAGTAGTAGTAATAGTATTAGTAGTTGTAGAAGTAGTCTCGGCCTCGGTCTCAGAGGAAGATGTTTACTTTTCAAATGTTGGCAGGTATCCATTCTAAGAGAAACAAAACAAGATTTTTTATTATGTCAATTAGAAATGTTTTATACAGTAGGCTTGCGGGTGCACCATGTGAGAGAGAGGGAGGATTGAGGAGTCTTGAAAAGGACTCTCGGTAATCTTTCTTGAGGGTGTGTAGTCCTGAAAAGGACTGTTGGTGTAAGTGTAGTCTTGAAAATGTTTAGAAATGTTTTGTAGAATTGTATATGATACTAATCTATGTGGTTTCTTGTGCAGGTAAACTGCAAGAGATTGCAGAAAAGGAGATCAAAGGTGCACCATACTCACTGGTAGAGTTTAATGGTAAACTCCTTGCTTCAGTCAACAGTGTGGTAAGTTCAAGATAAAGTTTAGTTCTGGGCCCTATTTCATTAAAGGTAGTACAAAGTTTTAGGAAATTTCGAAAATTGGTCGGATAGTGATTCTTCACAAATTAGATTTATTTTGATGCCCCTGAGGATGTATTATAAGCATTAGAAAATTTAGCCCCTAAAACATTTCTGCTTTTGAGAAAAATTGAATGTAAAAATTAACCGGTGCTCCCTACGGCCGTACAATGGTAGCTGCAACCATGAAAATCTCATAATATGTAGTTGTGATATATAATTCCACATCAAGAACATGAAATCTTCTTGATAATAAAAAATATGAATGATTTGAATCAACAGTTTATGCCTTTTGAAATAACTTCTACAAAATATTTTCATAGATGCTAACAGCTTTCCATAATTGTTAAGTCCAACTTAGAGATAAGTTAAACTTAGGATCTTTGTGAAACACCCTCCAGGAGTGATAAAAATACTCTAATTACGATCCTTGTAATCGATATTACGTCACAAGCTATGGACCAGTCACACCTATGTTTCTGTAATAGCCATCTAACATTCATCGTCAATATTTTGAGGTTATTTATGACCCTGTACAAATCATAGATTGGACTGTACCCATGTGACACCGGGCATGGTGGCTCAGTGGTTAGAGCGCCCGCCTCATGAACGGGAGGTCGTGGGTTCGAAGCCCGGCCGAGTCATACCAAAGACTTGTAACAATGGGACCTTCTGCCTTCTAGCTAGGCGCTCAGCACATTAGATTGGAGAAGGGTAGTAGTAACATATTATGTTATGCAGGGCCCGCTGGGAGAGCAGTTTCATAACTGAAGTGGCTACCCTGGGTAAATAAAACATTATTATTATTATTATTATCTTATTATATTTTCAGGTTCGTTTGTTTGAGTGGACCCCCGAGCATTCACTACGGGTTGAATGCAGTCATTACAACAATGTACTAGCTCTGTATCTCAAGACTAAAGGAGATTTCATTGTCGTTGGCGATTTGATGCGTTCTATTACGTTACTTGCTTACAAACCTATGGAAGGATGCCTAGAAGAGGTTAGCTACTTAATTTCATTTTCATTTATTTATTTCCACGTCAAGATAAAAAACAACGGTATTAAATACATATACATGAATCTCAGTTTGTTTGACTCTCGACTTAATCTCTTACTTCCTCTCTCTACTGATCTAACGTCCTTTTTCTAGAGCTTTTGCACTCATTTATTTTCCCTTTTTTTTTGTAATCTTTCTTTCTTTTTGTCTTCTACTATTTTCCTCCATTTTTTCCTCTCTTTTATTTTGTTTCCCCAAAGATCTTTAATTTCTTAGCTACCTATTTTTTCTATTTATTGATTTTCTAAGCATACTTTGTTCATGTTATATTGTAAAACAGCATCTGAAGAACTAACACTTCAACAAGCTCTGCTTCTAGTTAGTTCCTCTTTTCTCGTGCTTTTTATGCCTCCGCCACCGAAGGTGGTGCCGGAGGCATCATGTTTTCGGGTTGTCCGTCCGTACGTCCGTACGTCCGTACGTCCGTCCGTACGTCCGTCCGTACGTCCGTCTGTACGTCCGTACGTCCGTCCCGTTTGACCGTTATCACAATATCTCAAGAACCATTTAAGATTTAAACTTAAGACTCGGGAATAGTATTTATCACCATAGGAAGACGATCTGATTAGATTTTGGAGTACGTAGGTCAAAGGTCACAGGTCACAGAGGTCAACTTATGAAATTCCTTGTATTGAGTTTGTTAGCGCGATATCTCAAGAACCATTTGAGATTTAAACTTCAAACTTAAGGATAGTATGTATCACCATAGGAAGACGATCTGATTAGATTTTGGAGCACGTATGTCAAAGGTCAAGGGTCACAGAGGTCAACTTATGAAATTCCATACATTGAGATTGTTATCATGATATCTCAAGAACCACTGGAGATTTAAACTTCAAACTTAGTGATAGTGTGTATCACTATAGGAAAACAATCTGATTACATTTTTGAGCACGTAGGTCAAAGGTCAAGGGTCATAGAGGTCAACTTATGAAATTCCATACATTGAGATCGTTATCGCGATATCTCAAGAACCACTGGAGAATTTTCACTTCAAACTTAATGATAGTATGTATCACCATAGGAAGACGATCTGATTAGATTTTGGAGCACGTAGGTCAAAGGTCAAGGGTCACAGAGGTCAACTTATGAAATTCCATACATTGAGATTGTTATCATAATATCTCAAGAACCACTGGAGATTTAAACTTCAAACTTAATGATAGTGTGTATCACCATAGGAAGACAATCTGATTAGATTTTGGAGCATGTAGGTCATAGGTCAAGGGTCACAGAGGTCAACTTATGAAATTCCATACATTGAGATCGTTATCGCGATATCTCAAGAACCACTGGAGAATTTTCACTTCAAACTTAATGATAGTATGTATCACCATATCATAATATCTCAAGAACCACTGGAGATTTAAACTTCAAACTTAATGATAGTGTGTATCACCATAGGAAGACAATCTGATTAGATTTTGGAGCACGTAGGTCAAAGGTCAAGGGTCACAGAGGTCAACTTATGAAATTCCATACATTGAGATTGTTATCATGATATCTCAAGAACCACTGGAGATTTAAACTCCAAACTTGTTTAAATTGCTCTATGGCGGAGGCATCATTTTCGACTGCGCGCAGTCAAAATTCCATCTAGTTTCAACTATATTTGTTGTTTCATTGCATATTTTGTATTATGTTTTGCATGAGAAATAAAATCATTTGAATCACTTGAATCATTATATAATTTTCAAATTACATATCTTCAATATACATATATAATGATATATCTGGAGTGGGAGGATCATGAAAAGCATGTAAATGGCTTGTTAAAAATGATCCTCACAAAATTTACAAAATAACAATAACTTTGGTACATTAATTTACATAAAATCAAAATTATAAAAAAAGGGAACATAAAGAAAATAGAGAAAAGAAGGAGGAAATATTGCATAAACATTGACATTGTAAGTTATTAGAATTTTTCAAAAAGAAATTGCTGACATAAGTTGTTTAAATTGGAAATCAAATCGTAATCAGAATAAATTTACACCTAATCCAGCACATTTTAAGGTGTAGAGATCTTGAATTGAAATGGAATCTATTTGATAAATGTTCTCTTTTGACCATGTTTACCGCCTAGATTGCTAGAGACTATAGGTGGTATTCTCATAAGTTATGCTGGGACCAAGTCTAGACTAAACAAGAGTTTTAGTTCACACTTCTATGGAATGCTTGGTTTCATCTTCCTCCTTCAATATTCATGACAAAGATAATGTACCAAAGACTTTGTTATAATTTTGTTCATACTCATATTATCTTTTTCTTCCCATTTCATTGCAAAATTAATTTTTTGGACACTTTTCATTGAAGGATTTAAATAATCTGTAAAGGGTAAATGAGTTGGCAACAGGCACTCCATAAAAGTGTGGACTAACTTAGTACGAGCAAACTTAGTACGCGCAACCGGAATACCACCCTATAGCCCTAATCTATTTTACTATGTTTACTGCCTAGATCGCTAGAGACTATAGCCCTAATTGGATGTCAGCTGTAGAGATCTTGGATGATGATACATTCTTGGGAGCTGAAAACTCTTCAAACCTCTTCACATGTCAGAAAGACAGGTATTTGTAGAAACAGCAGTAAATACACACATACTAAAGCTTTAGTATGTCTGTATTTATTTGCTATTCTTTTAGTTTGTAGTACCAATCATCTGTTCATACAGTGTATACAGTTATGTATTTCTTAATGTTCAATGTTATCTCTATTATTTGGCAAATTAAGATTGCACATTTAAATGGACATTTTAAATGTTTGTATATTTAGTTTGTTTGAGCCTTATGGCTGCTAAAGGTAAAGACCAGTTTTGGAAACGCCCCCCTCTCTAAAAATTAAATGGAAGCTCTTATTACCAATCCTGTGAAAGAATATGTTTTGACTAATACGTGATGATATAAATTTTGCCAGAAAACCACCTACTAATTGATATATTTGGTAAATTATCATATCTATCCAGCCAGGATAGATATAGAGTAGTCCCATATACATCTTTCTGTGTACAGTGCTTGTAACTTTACTAAGACTGGGCCAAATTTCTTATCATTTTGATGATTCCGGAACCTTGCAGTACACACCAATACTTATATGCTAGATGATCAACCTTTTCTAGTCGATTCAACAATGTTTCTTTCACAATGCAATCGCATGACCAGAACTGGTCTATACCTTTAAGTGTGTTTCAAATGTGTTTTTACAAAACGCCAGATTACTTCAATTCAATATTACAGTCAAACCTGCTTTAATGAGCACCTGTCTACAAAGGCCACCTGTCTAAAAGGACCACAATTTTTGTTTCCCTTGAAAATGGTTTCTCATTGAAACATGTACAAAAGGAACTTGTCTACAAAGACCACTTTTTGTGTTTCCCTTGGGCGGTCGCTGTAGACAGGTTTGACTGTATTTTGAATGCTGCCACAGTACCCACAGTTCCATTTTGTTGAAAATGCTAAAAAGTAGTGTTGTCGATCAAAATATGAATCGTATAATTTCATCCTATTCAGAATCTGTGATATCTAATCTATCCCTTGACTGACTTATATACTTGAAGGGAATCCAACCTTAATTAATTGCCCTTGCATTTAAGGCCATTATTCTCCAACAAAACCTCTCTCACCACCTTTTTTTCTCTGTCCTGTACTTATATATTTAAAAAGTAAGTTTGTTGTGATTAATAATCAAGTTGAGAAATCGCAGATTGAGGAAATGCTAATTAGTAGTTTTTCTGTTGGGTTTTTTTTCTTTTAATTCACATTTGTTATTTTCAGTGGTGAATATTGATTATTTTGCAAATTAAAGAGGCAGCCCTTGGGATGGATTTTTTAATTTTTTACTTTGTTTTGAAATATTCAACCGTACATAATTTATAGGCCATTTACAGTAGCATTTATAGCCTCAACTCTAATTAGGCTGGACTTTTCTAAAGCCTCGTAAAACTTTAGGACAATAGCACCCTCCCCTGCTCTTATCAGGACTGTGGAGAAAGCAGTAGTAAAACAATCCCTTCTGCTTCTTTCAAGTAGCCAGAATAAGTCCAAATTTCTGGGTGTTTAGTTAATCTTTAGTAAAACATTTATTTGCAGTGCGGCAACAACAGATGAAGAAAGACGACACCTACAGGAGGTTGGTCTGTTTCATCTTGGGGAGTTTGTCAACGTGTTCCGCCATGGATCGCTAGTGATGCAGAACATCGGAGAGAGTACAATACCTACAACCGGCAGTGTACTCTTTGGTACCGTCAGTGGCTCAGTAGGTAGGTTCCCTGTTTAATACCTACAACCGGCAGTGTACTCTTTGGTACCGTCAGTGGCTCAGTAGGTAGGTTCCCGTTTAATGCCTACAACAGGCAGTGTACTCTTTGGTACCATCAGTGGCTCAGTAGGTAGGTTCATGTTTAATACCTACAACCGCAGTGTACTTTTTGGTACCGTCAGTGGCTCGGTTCCCTGTTTAATACCTACAACAGGCAGTGTACTCTTTGGTACCTTCAGTGGGTCAGTAGGTAGGTCCATTTTTAATACCTACAATAGGCAGTGTACTATTTGGTACCATCAGTGGCTCAGTAGGTAGGTTACTGTTTAATACCTACAACCGGCAGTGTACTCTTTGGAATCGTCAGTGGCTCAGTAGGTAGGTTCCCTGTTTAATACCTACAACCGGCAGTGTACTCTGTGTACCTTCAGTGGCTCAGTAGGTAGGTTCCTGTTTAATACCTACAACCGTCAGAGTACTCTTTGGTACCGTCAGTGACTCAGTTGGTAGATCCCTGTTTAATACGTACAACAGACAGTGTACTATTTGTTACTTTCAGTGGGTAAGTATGCAGGATATCGTTACATACCAACAACCAGTAGTGTACCAGTACTCTTTGGTACCGTCAGTGGCTCAGTAGGTAGGTTCCCTGTTTAATACCTACAACAGACAGTGTACTATTTGTTACCTTCAGTGGGTAAGTAGTTAGGTTATCGTTACATACCAACAACCGGTAGTGTGCCGGTACTCTTTGGTACCGTCAGTGGCTCAGTAGGTAGTCCCTGTTGAATACCTGTTCAAGTATTTCATCTCGGCAGTTTTTGTTTATTCGTTTATCACTCAATGCTTGTACTCATGTCAATGTGTGGTTCATTGACCTATCGGTTCTATGTCACTGTCATTCAGTACTGGAACCTCCACTGAATAGGGATACATATATATCAGAGAATTCAAGGGAGAAAAGGGCAAAGAGAGAAACAGATCATAGTAATTCAATGTTGCTGTAATTAAAACAACTTACAGATTCTTTTATAATGTGAAATATGAATACTACATTAAATATCCCAGTATTGTTTTTATATTTTTAATTTCATTTTTTTTTTTTGATTTTTTTTTTTTTTTGGTATACAGTAGTTCTTATTTACAAAAAGTGATAATAGATATATGATGAAATTGGAATTGTTGCACATTTAAGATAAATCATGTTGATTCATGACTATTTAAAAAGTGAATGTCCTACATGCATTATTTCAGTGAGAACAGGGGCCCATTTCACAAAACTCATCATCAGTGACAAATGACAGTTTTTGTTATAAGCTACTGGAATCCTTGCTTCTAAATGGTTATCAACAGATTTGTCAATGATATTTGTAATTTGTCATTGAAAAGTGGCTTTGTGAAATGGGTCCCTGGTGTAGGGGCAGCAATGTACAGAACTGGCAGTGAAAAAATACACATAACAGGGGCTCGGGGCGCAATATCCCCCAAAATGCTCAAAAGAGCCCCCGAAAATAAAAAAAGAGCCCCTTTAAATTTGCATAGAGTTCTATGCAAAACAAATTTTAGAGTGTTAATTTCATACAGGCAAGCTTGAAAAGTAACCCCTGAAAAATGAATGTTATTTTTTTCCCTGAGAACTGGAAACATTCCATTTTAATATATGTTTGTTTGTATACAGGTCTAGTGACTCAGCTGAACGAGGAGTTTTACAGATTTCTTCTTGAAGTACAGAACAAACTCACCAAGGTCATCAAGAGCGTGGGAAAGATCAAACACAGCTTATATCCTTTATTATATACCTCATTTAAGAAATCCAGTCGTCTGATTGGTCGAAATTGAAGTCATGATTTTAGCCATTCCCGTAAATAAACGAAAAATGCCAAACCTATGTAATGGGTCTAGAGTAAATCAGTAAAATCCTTGCAAAATTTTATGACAATTTTATGGACTCTTTTGAGGATTGTTAAATTGATTCTTTTTTGTTTAAAAAAAAAAATATCATTATGATGTCAAAATCTTATCAAATTTAGTGGCTGCAGCAGAATGGGCGCAACCTTGAGCGTTCCAGTCTCACAGACACTGCCCCCCAGTTGTGGAATAGCCTCCCATCCTACATCCAACATGCTCTTTCTATATCCACTTTCAAAGTAATGTTAAAAACCCATCTGTTCAAATCCATATCATGAATTTTGTCATCTTTAGCACAATTAAAGTTAGATTAAGTTGATTTATTCATTTATCTGTAACAAACTGTAATTTTGTAACGTAACATAGCGTTACATACTGTAAGTTTGTACTGAATGATATTGTGTAATCGTGGTGCTGTCGTCCCGGCTTTAATTTTGTGTAAGGCCATTGCTTCACTTAAAGGGATCGTTTAACAATGTTAAATCAGAGATTCACGGCCCTACGTGTTATCAGTGTTTGTGATATATGGTGAAGCCCTAAAAAAATTGCGCTTCAAAATATCAAGAAGTGCCTCAAAAAGTAAAAACCTTTGAGTGACCGGTTTTACCATACTCGTTTTCCCCAATTGACTGTAGTGTAATGAAAACCGTTTGGCAAACGCAAAATTTGATTTAGATTTTCAATCATAAATATCTTGATAATCAGACAGGCGATCGGCTTGTAAAAGTCATGGGGCTCCTGACTGACCTAAAGGTTCATAATTTTCATTGCAGCATAAGCCTAATCAAGGATTTTTTTGAAGGATCTAAGACAAAGTTACCGGATCCCTTTAATGGCTGCTGGGACAACAGCACCACAGCGCCTAGAAACAATATATTAGGCACGTTATAAATGTGATCTATTATTGTTATTATAATTTTGAATTCCTTGACTATGATGTTTACCTGGAGGTCGTTCTACTCGGAGAGGAAGACAGAGCCGATGGATAACTTCATCGATGGTGATCTCTTAGAAAGCTTCTTAGATCTCAGTAGAGACACAATGGATGAGGTAGCCCAGGGATTGCAGGTAGGTTCTCATATGCTTCTTTTCTAAGTTGCCTTTAAAGGTAAAGATCAGTTCTGGTCATGCGATTGCATCGTGAAAGAAACGTTGTGGAATCGATCAGAAAGGTTTGATCATCTAGCATATTGATGTCTCTTTAGCTACACACATATACCAACACCAGGCGCGGATCCGGGATTTCTTACGGGGGGGAGGGAGGTCCAAATTTGAAATCGATTTGAAATTTAGTGTGCCGATATTTCGCTCAGTGTGGGGGGGGTGGCATAGTGAGCAGTGAGCACTTTTTTTTAAACTCACCCCCCCCCCCCCCCCCGAGGGAAGAAAAAAAAGGTAAATTTCTGGTCACTAATTATAATTTTTTTTGGCCGGGGGGGGGGGGGCATAGATTCGCGCCTGACCAACACCTACATGTATATGCAGACCTCAAATCACTTGTCCTGTTAGTTGTGACAATTAAACATACTGTCACTAACAAATGATAACAGTTTCCAGAATACCACCCCAGGTCTTTTGTTATGAAGATCTGTCCTTCTTGTTATCTTTGTTAGATCGATGATGGAGGGATGAAGAGAGACTGCATGGCTAATGATCTCATCAAGATTGTTGAAGAACTTACCAGGATTCACTGAGCTTATGCGGAACAAGTACTACCTGCACAACCACCAGTAGATACATCGGCTATTCACATGGATTGACTTGGACATCGTGAATTACCTACCCTGTGGGTACTAATGAGAACAGAAAAATATCTCATCTAACTGACAGGATGTGGAGACTGTGTTCACATATAGATCAATAATCAAGTAGTTATGTATTCACACACACTGATCACCATGTAAACATGTGTTCACACACACTGATCACCATGTCAACATGTGTTCACACACACTGATCACCATGTCAACATGTGTTCACAGACTGATCACCATGTCGACATGTGTTCATACACATTGATCACCATGTCAACATGTGTTCACACACACTGATCACCATGTAAACATGTGTTCACACACACTGATCACTATGTCAACATGTGTTCACACATACACTGATCACTATGTCAACAAGTGTTCACACACACTGATCACCGTGTCAACACGTGTTCACACACACTGATCACTGTGTCAACAAGTGTTCACACACACTGATCACCATGTCAACATGTGTTCACAGACTGATCACCATGTCAACAAGTGTTCACACACACTGATCACCGTGTCAACACGTGTTCACACACACTGATCACCATGTCAACATGTGTTCACACACACTGATCACTGTGTCAACAAGTGTTCACACACACTGATCACCATGTCAACATGTGTTCACAGACTGATCACCATGTCAACAAGTGTTCACACACACTGATCACCATGTCAACATGTGTTCACACACACTGATCACCATGTAAACATGTGTTCACACACACTGATCACTATGTCAACATGTGTTCACACATACACTGATCACTATGTCAACAAGTGTTCACACATATTGATCACCATGTCAACATGTGTTCACACACACTGATCACTATGTCAACATGTGTTCACACATACACTGATCACCATGTCAACATGTGTTCACACTTGCTGATCACCATGTCAACATGTGTTCACACACACTGATCACCATGTCGACATGTGTTCACACACACTGATCACCATGTCGACATGTGTTCACACACACTGATCACCATGTAAACGTGTGTTCACACACACTCATCACCATGTCAACGTGTGTTCACACACACTGATCACCATGTCAACGTGTGTTCACACACACTGATCACCATGTAAACGTGTGTTCACACACACTGTTCACCATGTCAACATGTGTTCACATACACTGATCACCATGTCAACATGTGTTCACACACACTGATCACCATATCAACATGTGTTCACATACACTGATCATCATGCATACACATACACTGATCATCATGTAAAAATGTGTTCACACACACCGATCATCATGCGTACACATACACAATGTGTTAGAGAGGTAAATGCTTAATCCGTTTTGTCATTTTTTAATGTGTAAAGATGACTATTCACCTTAAAATGACAGTATGATTGTACTTCTCTTAAAAGTGAATACGTTTTACAATGTTGGTGGCCAAGTCTGTAAACATTGGTGTACATCACTGTAGGATACTATTGAATCTATCTCTCCATAAAGAAACCCATCCAGATTATTTTTAAGCGAAATTATAAAGGAAATGAATACCAAGAAGAAAAAAAATATCTTCCGAAAATTTGCAGGAAATCGTTGCATTCTATTCTGTAAGTGCATTGTAGAAAAGGATATTATGAAAGATGCATATTTTTTATCAAAATTACCAACAATTGTCTTCACAAGTTTGCAGTGATGTTACAAGCTAGATGATGATGCTACAAGCCAAAAGTTCTCAACTATAAGTACAACTGTTTTATTAAGGATTCTTTCTTTAACATTATATTTGATGGTATGGATGGATTATTTCATACCCATCTTACATATGAGAGTTTGAAACCTGAATGTTGTTGTTCATAGCTTTATTTGTAACATAACATTTGTAATCATTCAAGCATGGTCTGAATTCCCTTGTGTATATATCCTGCGTGGCATCTAAATGGAGTGCCATTAGGCCTGTCTTCGCTAGCTCGAGATTGGCAAATATCCCGCTATTTGAACTATCCCGATCGCAAACTATCCAGGATTGTCATCCCAAGATATCTTCGGATAGTTTGCAAAATATTCAGCTTTTTGTCCGGTATGTCTTCACCAGACTGAAGACTCGCACTATGCACGAACGCTGAGCAAAATATCTTGAGCTTATTTCTCAAGGTCTAGTTTCCAGTTTGAATCTCGAGCTGATGAAGACGCGCCCATTGTAAAAACAAACCAAAAACTCTGTGTTCTTTGCAGAGAGTGATGGAGGAATCTCACTATGAACATGGCGGACAAAGAAAGAGGACAAAATATAGAGTTCCTCATTCTACCCTCAACAATTCACTGCTCTTATGTAAAAATGTGTAGAACAGGTGAATATGTATGTGACACCTGTTCTACACATTTTTACATCATAGCAGTCAAGGGATGTTCCTTTGTCTACCACAGCAATTGTTGAGGGTAGAATGAGGAACTGTATATTTTGTCCTCTTTCTTTGTCCGTCATGTTCATAGTGTCTGTTGATATGTTGATCATGGACTAGATTAGTCTTTTGTATAGTTTTTCATACATTATAAAAGGGACAAAAACTAGCCGTTGTTTTTAAGTTATGTCATATATTTAATGAAACTCTTTGGCTCACAAACGAAACTGTTTTCCACATGGAAGCCAACAGTGCTGAAGAAGAACAAAATAAAGAAAAGCTATGTACAAGATTTGTGACAGTAGGTACATTTAACCTGCTTTAACGACCACCTGTATAGAAAGACCACATTATTTGTTTCCCTTGAAAATGGTTTCTCTTTGAAACCTGTACTAAAAGGAACCTGAACACAAAGACCACCTAGAAAGGTCACTTTATTGTCTCCCTTGAGCGGTCTTTATATACAGGTTTCCCTTAACAATCATCCACTATTACCATTGTATAACACACATGTACTCCCTGGTAGAGGAATCATGTACTGGGTTTGTTATGGTTGAGAGAAATGCATTGATGTTGTAGAATAAATTAACATTTAATTTTGTTATGAAAGGTTTGACATTAAATGAAGTTCAACAAAGTAATCAGGATCTTTCAATAGTTATTTGATGTCTATTGCATGGGTTTGGACTTTGAAGAACATTAATATATGCAGAAATATGGGAGTAACAGTTCAGTGAAAGATACGACCAATCAAACACAAATTTGCAACTCTGTGACATTTATCTTGTGAGCTCACCTTTCATTTGCCCTGTACTAAACAACTAGATGGAATTCGACTGCGCGCAGTCGAAAATGATGCCTCCGTCATAGAGCAATTTTACAAACCAAAACAGAAGAAATTTTTTGAATTCAAGTTCAATTGTAATCCATTGACAGGTTCTCAGAAAATCGTGATTACAAGCAATTTCTCATATACATATATGACCCTTTGATCTTTGACCTCATGACCCTAAAATCTACTCAGTTCATTGGCTCTGCAAGATGTCCTGAGTTAAATAGTAATCCATCTGTCAGTTCTAATGAGAATGCGTTCACAAGCTATTTTTGCATACATAATGAGCCCATGACCTTTGACCTTTGACCTTATGAACCAAGAATCTACTCAGTTCATTGGCTCTGCAAGTAACATACATGACCTAATTTTGGCAGGAATCCATCAATCGCTTCTTGAGATAACGCGGTCACGAGCTGTTTTTGCATACATAATGTGCGCTTTGGCCTTTGACCTTTGACCTCATGACCCCTAAATCTAATCAGTTCATCGGCTCTGCAAGTAACATACATGACCTAAGTTTGGCAGCAATCCATCAATCGATTCTTGAGATAACGCGATCACGAGCTGTTTTCGCATACATAATGAGCCCTGTGACCTTTGACCTTTAACCTCGTGACCCCAAAATCTAATCAGTTCATTGGCTTTGCAAGAGACATACATGACCAAAGTTTGGCAGGAATCCATCAATCAGTTCTTCAGATAACGCGATCACGAGCTGTTTTTGCATACCTAATGAGCCCTGTGACCTTTGACCTTTGACCTCGTGACCCCAAAATCTAATCAGTTCATCGGCTCTGCAAGATACATACATTACCAAAGTTTGGCAGGAATCCATCAATCGGTTCTTTAGATAACGCGATCACAAGAACGGGACGTACGTACAGACGTACGTACAGACGTACGGACGGACGGACGGACGGACGGACAACCCGAAAACATAATGCCTCCGGCTACTTCGTAACGGAGGCATAAAAATCAACAATTCATATTATCGCTTAAAGGTAATATAAAGTTTTGGTATTGGGACATGAATTCGGATCAAATGAACATATTGGAAGCATGTGCGATCCTACAATATTCAGCGATCGTTGACGCGGTTGTATAGCTCCCTCTCTTGATAATTAAAACCACAGAGACCATAATTGGTTTCAGGTCAGGATTCAGCACAGATCCACTTATTGCTGCTTATTTACAAGTCAAAATTAATTAAGGAGATGACTAGCTGGTTGGAACTGATCCATTCATCGCTGCTTATAAGTCAAAATCACAGTTATCAGTCTACATAGGAAGTCCACAGAACTTCTTTTGTAGAGGTTGGTTAAGGAGATGACTAGCTGGTTGGAACTGATCCATTCATCACTGCTTACAAGTCAAAATCACAGTTATCAGTCTCCATAGGAAGTCCACAGAACTTCTTTTGTAGAGGTTGGTTAAGGAGATGACTAGCGGGTTGGAACTGATCCATTCATCGCTGCTTACAAGTCAAAATCACAGTTATCCGTCACCATAGGGAGTCCACAGAACTTCTTTTGTAGAGGTTGGTTAAGGAGACGACTAGCTGATTGAAACTGATCCATTTATCGCTGCTTATTTACATGTCAAAATCACAGTTATCCGTCTCCATAGGAAGTCCACAGAACTTCTTTTGTAGAGGTTGGTTAAGGAGATGACTAGCGGGTTGGAACTGATCCATTCATCGCTGCTTACAAGTCAAAATCACAGTTATCCGTCACCATAGGGAGTCCACAGAACTTCTTTTGTAGAGGTTGGTTAAGGAGATGACTAGCTGGTTGGAACTGATGAGGACGGGTAGAGCCTCTTCTTTTTCTTCTTCTACCACTTTATCACTGCTTACAAGTCAAAATCACAGTTATCCGTCTCCATAGGAAGTCCACAGAACTTCTTTTGTAGGGGTTGATTAAGGAGATGACTAGCTGGTTGGAACTGATCCATTTATTGCTGCTTATTTACAAGTCAAAATCACAGTTATCAGTCTCCATAGGAAGTCCACAGAACTTCTTTTGTAGAGGTTGATTTAGGAGTTGACTAGCTGGTTGGAACTGATCCATTCATCACTGCTTACAAGTCAAAATCACAGTTATCCGTCTCCATAGGAAGTCCACAGAACTTCTTTTGAAGAGGTTGGTTAAGGAGATGACTAGCTGGTTGGAACTGATCCATTCATCACTGCTTACAAGTCAAAATCACAGTTATCCGTCTCCATAGGAAGTCCACAGAACTTCTTTTGAAGAGGTTGATTTAGGAGTTGACTAGCTGGTTGGAACTGATGAGGTCGGGTAGAGCCTCTTCTTCTTCCTCTACCTCTACCACCAAAGGCAGGCTGTCAACAAAGAAACAGGCAGGACGTGTTGTTAGCAACAACAACAACAAAATCTAATTTATACAGTAGGCTTGCGGTGCACCATGTGAGAGAGAGGGAGGATTGAGGAGTCCTGCAAAGGACTCTCGGTAATCTTCCGTGAGGGTGTGTAGTCCTGAAAAGGACTGTTGGGCTCCTGACAAAGGATAGTCAACCTGTTCGAAACGTCGAGCCATTCCCGCCACTCATCCTCTCCAAGCGCTATAGTTCTCCTTAGAACTATAAACTAAGAAAGATAACCAACAGTCTTTTGCAAGACTACCCCAACAGTCCTTTTCAGGACTACACACCCTCAAGAAAGATTACCGAGAGTCCTTTTCAGGACTCCTCAATCCTCCCTCTCTCTCACATGGTGCACCCGCAAGCCTACTGTATATCTACATCACCATGCAACCCGATACTTACAGGCAGCATCAAAATCTCATTTCCTGCTATGGAGAATGCTTGTTATACTAATGATAATAGTAACAATGGAGGCTTCTTATAAAGCGCACAGGTCCGTCACATTGTGATGCTCCTGGCGCTGCACCAATTATTACCCTGGCTTGAGCAAGGCGGCCATTATGGCGCCTGAGCATTTCAAGGAATTAATTCCTGCCAGGTACCCATTTACATCACCAGGGTCGAGTGTGGCAAATGTAGATCAATGTCTTGCCAAAGGACATTAGTGCCGCGGCAAGAATCAATCCCCGGACCGTATGATCAACAGTCCGGTTACGTATCCACTCGACCACGACACCTCTACATATATATACTAAAGTGAAGTAATACACAATAAGTACGTTATTACAACTACATTTATTGTACAATGGAAACTGGTTATAAAGAGCTCTGATATATTAAGCCACCCGGGGGGCGTTTCACAAAACTTGTCGTCAGTGACAAATGACAATTTGTGTTATAAGCTACTGAAATCCTTGCTTCTGATTGGTTATATCAGCAGATTTGTCACTGATTTTTGTTATTTGTCATTGAAAAAAGGCTTTGTGAAACGGGTCCCTGATATAACAAAGTAACCTCCATGGTCCCAATGTACTCATTAGGAATTTCGAATGAAGTGATAGAGTCTAGCTGGTTGGTCGCGTTGTAACTCATTTTGTAAAACGAAAACGGAAGATGATGCAACCTTTCATAGATTTGCCAAAGGGGTTTTTGCAAACTGCATATATTAAGTGTTGCTAGGTAGGTCAAGCCATAATGCTTGTCCTACCTGGCAACAACAAATGTATGCAGTTTGAGTTTATTGAAACAATAATTATTCTTATCAGGTGAATGAAATAATTTGTATTGAGGCACTTCACAAAGACATATGCATTAACTTTGGTTACATTACGAAAATGCCCTATTGGAAATTAATAATGCTATGGTCACATCACCCAAAAGTAGCCTGCTCGGCGGCCGAGCGGCGAGTTTTTAACCAATTCTGCCCGGCGGCTGCCCGGCCACCGAGCGGCGGCCGCCCAGGCACCGCTCGTTTTTAGGGCATCGCTCGGTCGCCGCTGAAGTTTTAGCGCGGAGTTAAAATTTGGGCGGCGCCTGCTCACTTTTCACTCGCCGCCCAAAATACGCTCGGTGCCTGGGCGGTCGCCGCCGGGGCACCAACTAATTGCTGGTCGATGCCTAAATTCCAGCAGCAACCGAGCAGGCTACTGATCGGTCGGTCGCTGCTCAGATTTGTGACCATAGCTTAAGCTAAGTTCTGACCTGTACTGGAACAGTGGCTTGTTGTTTGGTCTTCCTAGGCTGTCTAGTCGATGTCTTGTTCATTAATCCAACCAGACTTGAAGTGAGATTGCAATGGTTTATCAGTGGATTGTAAGCATCGAGAACTTCCAGCTGAAGAAACAAAGGAAATATTTGATATGTAAAACGGAATAGCTCATTACTTATGGATCAACACAAGTACAGAATAATTTTTAGTAAAAGATTTTTTTTAAATACCCAGATTAGCTAACATCAGCTACGCCCTTTGGCAAGGCATTAATCCACATTTGCCACTCTCTTTGACGGTGCAAATGGGGGCCTGCATGGCAATTGCTGGGTAATAATTATTGCAAGGCCCTTGGAAGAACAGCAGCAGCAGTGCTTGCCCCCGCACACTGTGTGCACAATCTCCACTTCCTGGGGAGCATTCCAGTCAGGCGTTACTTGACGCTCAAAAACTGTTTAACCCAACAATGATGGTCGCATCCTACCGGGTACCCACTTAACACCTGGGTGGAGAGTAGCAAGTGCAGGTTAATATCTTGCCAAAGGATATTAGTGCTGTGTCGGGATTCGAACACTCGACCTTCACATCTCCAGTCAAGCGCCTTAAACCACTCGTATTAGCAGCAGCAGTAGTAGTAATAGCAGTAGTAGTACTAGTAGTACTACTAGCAGTAGAAGTAGTATTAGTAGTAGCAGTATTAGCAGTACACAGTAGTAGTTGTGGTGCAGGTGGTGGTGGTGGTGAATAAGAAGTGTTGGCATTTAGAGACTATACTTACTTGGTTTAGATACTGTGCGACTAGTTGAGGACTATCTGAGATTGGTTTCTCTGCAGGTATTTGATAGTCCCCAGGTAGCATGAGTTAATATTGACTATACTTACTTGGTCTAGATATTGTGCGACTAGTTGAAGACTATCTGAGATTGGTTTCTCTGCAGGTATTTGATAATCCCCAGGTAGCATGAATTCATTGACTTTACCTACTTAGTCTAGATACAGTGTGACTAGTTGAAGACTATCTGAGATTGGTTTCTCTGCAGGTATTTGATAGTCCCAAGGTAGCATGAGTTCATTGACTATACTTACTTGGTCTAGATACTGTGCGACTAGTTGAAGACTTTCTGAGATTGGTTTCTCAGCAGGTATTTGATAGTCCCCAGGTAGCATTAATTCATTGACTATACTTACTTGGTCTAGATATCGTGCGACTAGTTACTATCTGAGATTGGTTTCTCAGCAGGTATTTGATAGTCCCCAGGTAGCATGAGTTCATTGACTATACTTACTTGGTCTAGATACTGTGCGAATAGTTGAAGACTATCTGAGATTGGTTTCTCAGCTGGTATTTGATAGTCCCCAGGTAGCATGAGTTCATTTACTATACTTACTTGGTCTAGATACTGTGCGACTAGTTGAAGACTATCTGAGATTGGTTTCTCAGCTGGTATTTGATAGTCCCCAGGTAGCATGAGTTCATTGACTGCTATTGGTTTGATGAGTAGAGACATTGACGGTGAGGGGAGGATGATGAAATGACCTCTTGGTTTAGGTACTGCAGAAGTGCTTGGATACACAGTCGACTCACTAGGCTCAAGTCTTGTGACAAGACACATCTCCTGTTAAAAACAAAATATTATTTATTCAACAATCTGACATCTAAATATACAAATTTTTTGACCAAAAAAAAAAACTGTTTAGGGGAAAATAAAATAAGGCAGAAAAGGGGAAAAAGAAAATTAAAGTGGAAATTTTATGCCAAAAGCGGAAAGGCTGGAAGGTCTGTTAACCTATGGTGTACTACATACCCTATGATGTAGATGATGACACAGAGCATGGAAATTTTGTTGATTAGAGTCTAGTTCTTCCCAGTCTAGCTTCCAGCATGCTGTAGGTCTCACAACCATAGGTTGTCCAAACATCTAGAAACAAAGCACAACATGCATGTAAATATGCAATTTACTCAATTTATTTATTCAATGATAAAAAATCACACAAGAAAGCACATCAATATTTACTCAATTGATACATATTGAATTTTAGTTACTGTATTTACTGTTTTTGCCGGCGATAAGGTCGCAGCGCCGCACCCCCAACTTTGACATTTCGTAAAGGAAAAAAACCAAACGGGCCAAACAAAATAGTCATAATTTTCTCGTAGAACATTATTTTTTCTACAAACTGATACCAAAATTCATCAATATTCTTATAAATTTACGGTAAACATATTCCTTTTATTTCATGTTCCAGTCCGGGTCCAGGTACCGGATGAAACAAAAAGGCAAATTTTTAGTCACGTTTCGGTCCAGACTTTTCTCTCTGATGTATATTATGACTCACCAGTGAATCACATATTCCTTGGAGTTTAACCATCTGCATGACCCTGAGTTTGATGACGGGAGTGGCCTGCTGCTGGCTTACTGCAGACTGATTGGATGAAGCTGGTTTGTTAGGTATACCACACGTCATCTGCTGTTTTAAAGAACAAACTTAATGGCCGAATTCACAAAGGAGGTTCGTTGACAAAACTAGGTTTATGTGCGTCATATGACGCGTTTCAACGCGTTTTTACAAACCTTGTAAATATAAACCTAGGTTTGTTGACAAACCTCCTTTGTGAATTCGGGCCTATGTCATTGCTAAAGCAACAAAGTAGATCATAGCACCTGATCAATCCCTACCCTCCCTGAAAGGAAATGCCTAGTCCCTCAGAGAGGACTTATAGCCATCGGTCCCCTGGTTGCTTAATTGCAAGCATATACACATGCTTTCTTTGATAGCAGTCAGATAAAACAAACAAACCAACTACCTTAATATACATTTATGTAATGCTAAATATATTTTGCGGATATAGTATCGAAAATAATATCGCTAGTGACATTCGTTTGTCTCGCAATGTGGTCAATAAGGAATCAAAAGATCATGACATTTCGTGTGCCGCTGCAACACTTCGTCAGGTGATAAAATATATTGTAAGCAAGTGTCTTTTATACTCTACGAGTGGACCAGCGGTCACATAATTTGATCGATAATTGAAACAATAACGAAGGCCTATTGCCGAAGCACACGGGTGCTCAACCAATCGGGCCGGGTGAGAACAATGGCATGCTCAACCAATCCACGGGCTGCTTTCTCGGTGAGGGCCATACTTGTTGACCATACATTGCAAGACAAACAAAATATGTCACTAGCGATATTATTTTCGATACATTCATGTACTTACAAACTGTGTATTGAATGGCAGCAATGATGGATCAATGAATCGCTCTTGTAAGTCACACTTGAGCACCAGCTTGTCTGAGGACATCACTACATATAGACAAGATCAATTACAGCAGGGATGGTAGCTTCAAAACAAAAATAATTTCTGCATTTTATAGGCTCTTTCCAATTCAAGCTGTGACAAGCACAATCTTCTCTTCTTTTTATGCATCCAACATCTACATCTAGTATTTTTCACAAAAATCTATGACATGTTACTCACTTTTGACATCTTTGCTGTTGATTTAAGGACTCTACTGGGGCCCGTTTCACAAAGCCTTTTTTTAATGACAAATGACAAAAATCAGTGACAATTAATCTGCTGATAGCCAATCAGAAGCAACAATTTTTAGTAGCTTATAACAAAAACTGTCATTTGTCACTGATGACAAGTTTTATGAAACGCCCCCTGGTTTTATATTATTGCGTTTTAACAAAATAGCTTGTATAAATCTACACAAAAAAAAGATTGGTGTATAATAAAAAATTAAAAAACAGTGGGTGAAATATTACAACTTTAATCCAAGTTCAGATAGTATACCGACAACAAATTACCTCAATCATGTTTGTTGAAAATAACATTACCAAAGTTTATATAAAAATACTTGCTCAAAGAAGGATAGATACCCATTTTTTTTCTTGAAGAATGTACCCTATATGATGTCAGCTACCAATCTTCAGAATTATTAAATTCCAAGATACTATAGCATTATTCCTTTTAAAAGAGATAGAGTGATTGGTGTATGCCTACGTTAGGAAAGATAAGATAAGAGAGAGAGAGTTATATTACTGATTACCTTCATTTGACAATGAGAGTTGTAGTTAGTTAGGCATATGCTCACTAGAGAAAAAGTTATCTCTGGGATAGTTGAGTTCTGTTTTCAGACCGCAAATCAGTGCCTCCGATGTGCATGGTTATTGCTCTTATTCTTATCTATGACATTTCTAGTGCCCTTTTAGAACCTAAAATTGCTATGAAGGTAATTTTAGATCCCAAAATATGTGAAATTTAGCCAATACGACCATACCAATTCAGCTCCACCTTCAAAAAAATATGGTGACCATTAAATAATTAATCAATTAAAAATAACAATACATGGGCCGGCTGGTTATGCTTAATATAACAAACACGAAAAAGCCAACGTCGGCATTGGTTGAAATACGACGTAAAAGACGCTATTTCATTTTTTCAACCGCCTTTTCAAATTATCTTATATTTGTGGTGGTACACAAGTATTAGAAATTGTTATATTTATGTATATTTCAGCCGTATCTGAACCAATTTTGATCAAACAAAGATGATTATGTCATTTAAATTTGTATGTTCTTTCAAATTTGACACTCAGTTTTTCATTATCTCACCAAAAAATTATTTTGTGTAGCGCCCTCTGCAACAGAACTCAACTATCCCTTTAACTGCGTATACATTTAAGAATGAATGATAGCTATTTAAGTATACCTATGCGAAAAATAGACCACGTTATTAAGACATATATCTTCATTTAAGAATGAAAGATTACAGCATACCTCCATTTGGAAATAAGAGATGCAGTTGTTCTCTGTCGGTGCCACAGTCATGAAACCACCCAGTGAAAAAGGACTGGAAACTCAGCTCCCCTGAGGAAACACAAAAACACCTCCAGAATGAGATAGGTATGCGCAGAGATGGATGAAGAATTGCATAGAAAATGTTTTTTTTTTTGTCCAAATTACCATCCACCATGGTAACCATGAGAAATAGACCTTGTTATGGTTACCATGGTATCAAACAATAATAAACATAGGGTCATCATTTGGTACCATGATTACCATGGTGGATGGTAATTTGGACAAAAAAAACATGGTTACCACTTTTTTGAAAGGGAGGCAACATAATGAGTGATAATCATGAAGCATGTCCATTGACATGTATATACAGAATTGTTTTTTAATGTAGTATTTTGAAATTATATGCAAGATACATACTTTTCTGCAAGCTAGGGCCTTGCAGCTATAGTCATTACCCCGGGGTGTTTCATAAAGCTGTTTGTAAAGTTACGCATGATTTTACGAACGACTTATACATGACAAGCCAAATGGGATGCTCAATATTCACTACATCCACTAAAGTTGAAATGTGCAGATGTAGATTAACATTCTTATTATAGCAAACATTTTTAATGCAAAGTATATTTTTTGCCATAATATAATTGAGGTTATTGGAAATATCAGAAAAAAATTTGGGCATCCTAACTGGCACTTCATATACAAGTCGTTTGTAAAGTCATGCGTAACTTTACGAACAGCGTTATGAAACACCCCCCTGATTCTATGGTAATCTCTGTGTGAAAAAAAACCTTATTTCTACTTTACAATTCAAACAAAAAACATTTGTTGGGAGACCCTAAACTGATTGCATTCTTAGATAATAAAACAATTCTTATCTCCATTTTGTAGGAGTTTTCCCCCCAGGGGGGTCACTCTCATACAAAAGTGCTACCCACCCGTGTCCATCAACCTATGAAATGGACCCTAATGGCGTACATGTATCGCACCTTTTCTGAAATGACCCTTTTTATAGAAAACGTTGAAACTTGTGAACCTGAAAACGTACCCTTTTTCTGGTTTTTGTGCGATCAGTGCTTTAAAAACACCCCTTTTATAGGAAAACGTCAACGACATCAGACCTGAAAAGGCGCCCTTTTTCGGCTTTTGTGCGATTAGTGCTTGAAAAACACCCCTCTTTGAGGAAAACGGCGACGTCGCCGTGTAGCTGAAAAGACACCCTTTCGACGCTTTTTCTGGACGCTGGTGCGTAGCCAGTCATATTGGGAGTGACCCCCCCCCCCCCCCCCCCCCCCGGGGTTTTCCCAAGGGTAGTACAGACCTGGTTCTATTGTAGTAACATCAAGTATACCAGTCAGGTTCTCCGATGATGATGTATTAGAGCTCACTGGACTGTCACAAACGCTTGCAAGACTCACTACAAGAATCTTCTACATAGTGAAAAAACAAATACAAATCGGTCAAGGGCAAAAAGAAACTACAGTCAAACCTGCTTTAGTGACCACCTGTCTTCAAAGGCCGCATTAGTTGTTTCCCTTGAAAATGGTTTCTCATTGAATCATGTACTAAATTTTAACAATATAATAATACTATAAGTTTGTTCAATGAGAACTAAAGTATTATTCGGCGTGTATCCTTCTTGGAGGCACATACTGTACATGTATATACTGTTATCTGTTATACTTCTTTCAGGGGTGAAAGTGAGCACTAAACAAAAACATTTTTATTTTTTTCTCCCTCAGCCCCTTTGAGTAAAAAAAAAAAAAAGAAGAGGATTCGGGAGGGAAAATGGTATCTAACAACATTTCCCCCCTTTTGAGTAAGAAAAATTAGAGAAATTAGGGAAATATAGGGAAGAATAATGAAAATAAGGGGAAAATCAGGAAAATAGGGATAAAATTGGGAAGAAAAATAAAGAAAAAAAATTGGGAAGAAAAAAATCGGGAAAAAAAAAAAAATTGGATAAAAATCATATATATATATATATATATATATATATTAGATGGATACACACCCTAATGCTTTCAAGGTCCATCTGGCTGAGCATCTGATCTAGTTGTCTCGAGACCATTCCTCCTTGCTTGCATGTTATAATGATCACCTCTAATTGGCAACTGAAACTTGTCGTCTGAAACAGGGAAAATTATATGGAGACAAGATGAAATTACTGTAACTATCTCTTTCCTCCATTTAATACAGTAAGTCTTTCTTTAGGTTGAATTGCCATTTCTGTGTTAAAGGCACACTGCCATACTTGTAGCTACTTGCTCCCTCTATATAGAAAACTTCCCCAATCTGTGCCTGTTGGTCCCCCATGATCCTCTTTTTCTTATGTTAAATGAGAGCTGAGTTAATGAGATAGCCACCTGTCACAGTGACCTCGATGGCTCTCTGTGTGGTCTAATCCCTTCTGGCCCAGTAGTGGTGACAGTCTTTAAAGAGTGTGTTAGGAGTTGATGCTCTTCTTGCTTCAAAATGTCATTACTTAAATGCCACATACCTGCCAACCCTTCACATTTAAAATTAGAAATACAGGCTATTTTGCTTCTTGTTTTAAACAGAATATTTCATAAATAGAGAGGGTTCAAACAATAGCTTCAAAACAGGATTCATTCCTCCAAAATAAGAATGTTAGAGAGAGTTTACCTGTCTGAGTGTTTGAGACTGTCGTTTGAATTGCAGGACTGCATCCTGTAATGCTTGTGGGAGATTGGTGTGTTGCGAGATGGCAAATGTTTTTAACTCATGAAGTGCATTCTGAAGTCTGGAGAAGTTTCCTCGAACATGCTGCAGTGGAAACAGATTCTGTTGAGAGATCAAGAAAGAGAGAGATAGATAGGGAGACTTAGTCCTTGGGGAGGACTTAAAGCCATTGGTCCCCTGGTTGCCTTCTTTAATACAAGCATACACATGCTTTCTTAGCAGTCAGGTAAAGCAAACTATTGACTGATTAATAAAAAATGCAAAATTTTGTTTTGTTAATACATGTACTTTTTAAAATTCAATTCAAAATGGTTTATTTCAAATAAAACTTTCATCACGGCATTAAGCCGAAATACAAAAGTTTACAAATTATGAACACATAATGTAATATATAACTTGGAAAAATAAATCAGAATAAATACAAGAAATATAGCTTATTGCAACATATGGAAACATAAATTAGAAAGAAATCTGAATTAAATCGCATAAAGTAACATAGTTCTACTGAAATCATGTGAAAGAAGAAGGACTGAAGTAAGCAATAAACGGTACACGGAGCAATATATGTGGTGGAAAATATCGAGAGTAAAAACCGAAAAGTGAGGAGTAACGTTTGCAAATACACTGTAACTTATTGAAATTACGAGTGGGAGAGATTTAGAGAGGAAGAGTAAAGGCTGAGGGGGGAAGGTTAAGGAAGAAGTAGTAGAAAGCGAAAATGGAAAAATTCATATAGAGTCTAGAAGTATACAGAAAAGAAGGGAAAAGAAGAAGACGATGATGAAGAAGAAGACGAAATGGAAGGAGAAAAAAAAAAGAAGAAAAAGAAGTAAAAGAAAGAGAAGATAAAGATAAAAGAGTAAAAGAACAAAATAAAGTGGAAATACAAAAAAAAATACAACCATGCCTAAAGTGGACAAGAGATGGGTGAAGAGTACATGTATAACTAGACAGAAATAACCGTCTGATAAAGATACGGGTCATTTCTGTAATAAAACTGACATTTGTTGACAGCGGTCAGAGGAGCCAGATGCAATCTCAGCGGAACAACCGTCGATATCAGAGACTGAAGCTTTCGGTCTAATGACATGAATAACCTACCTCTGAATGAACACCAAGTGCAAAAAGTCCAAAGAATGGGATCCTTGCTGGGCCAGTCATGTTACAGGCCACGGCTAGTGTATGTTCCAAGGCTTGATGTAGGTCATAGCACATCTCAGCAGAAAATGGTAGTGAGAAATCAACCAGCAGAATCCGCGCTGTTGATTAAAAGGAGAACACGTCTTACAAATTTACTTCACCCGAGGCATGTCCCGGATCACCTTGGAAGTTGGCTGTACGTGCCCCACTTCTCCGTTTCAATTCAAGAACTCTTTTAAATAATAGATAAGTGCAGTAATAAGTCCACATCTTAGTTAGATATGGGCATAGATTCTAGATCTAGATCTAGATCTACATAGTCTAGGTCTAGTAGACTACAGGCCTAGATTCTACATGTAGACTTAGTAAAGTTAGTTAGGTCTATAGACTAGCCTTAGTTAGACCGAATATTCCGTCTCTTTCGTTCGTTAAGCCTCTTATTTGGGTAGGGTCGGCTCTCTTGAGAGCGTTAAGCCTCTTAATTATTTGGGCAAGAGGCTACGGCCTACCCAAATTAGATCTAGATCTAGGTCTAGAGGCTTAACGAACGAAAGAGACAGAAAATTCGGTCTAGACTAGCGGTAGCCTAGATCTAGGCCTAGATTTCTAGAGCAAATAGAAACAAGAAATTGAACTTGAAATATAGACTTCAAGTCATAGAGCTTAGAAGATGTGAATTTTATAATGATTCTTTCCATTCATACAATCTTATATCATGCACCAACGGACATCCTGACATGACGGATGAAGGATCGACAAGAAGAGAAGAAGTGAAACTGAAAGCCCTAGATCTAGATAGATCTAGATCTAAGTTAGAGATCTATGATCTAGAAATATCTATGAAATTTAATTCCTGACCTGGTTGTCTAGAGAATGCAACTCTTGACATTTGACTTTGTTTCTCCATCATCAACACTGTACTGGCAGAGCTGAGCTGAGCTAATTTTCTAATGAAGCAGTGCAGCATGCAGGCCTCCCATATAACCTAGCCTTGCGAGTTCAGTTGTGTGACGTCGACGTTGAAGAGTTGACTAAAAATTTGCACTCGATATATCAACTCCCGCAAAGTCGGGGTGACTAGAGTAGCCTACTCGGCACAACTACCGGTACTCCGCAAACCACATGCAAACTTCCGATCGAGTCGAGAGGTTTCCAGAATTTTGAACTTGGTGCTCGTATGCGTACTCAACTCATTCCAAATCATTAAAATCGTCATGCAGTCGACTCGATCATGTGATGGTCGTACGCGTATAGAGCTCGTGACGAACTCTAATTCCAAATTTCCAATTCCTTACTCCCGAAGTATAGTAACTCGCAACTTTAGAGTCAACTCGAGAATTGTACGAGTTTTCAAGAGCGCTGATCGATCACCATTGGCGTCATTCGGCAGCGCAGCGCAGGCACGTACATGTAGCCACGCGGGGGGGGGGGGGGGGGGGGCACTCGATCGATTACATGTATGTGCCCCCCCCCCCCCCCCCAAAAAAAAAAAAACATCAAACTCTGGCTACGTGCCTGATCATGGGGGGGGGGTCGACCGTTGTCTCCAGGTTTCCTAAGCTCCGCCATTTTGTACGGATCCATTAGAAGCCAAAATAAGCCCCTAGGGTCTATACATAATTAATTATATTTTAACGGCTTTGGTCATCTCCCGAAAAATGAATAAGGATGTTGGACAAGAGCCTATTATAAACGAAATAGGTCTACAAGATTTCCAAAATGGGAGGGGGGGAGACATTATACAAATATTAACTGCTCATAGGTTGGTGGGAATTATCACGTCTAAGGTGGTGTTCATACCGGCCCTTTTATCACCCCCGAGTGCAGAGCAGTCCATATTAAATTTTGTGTTATACTCATCCTTTTCATTGATTCGTGATAGGTCTAGAAAATGAATAACAAGAGTCTATATTCTCCTCACAGTATTATATTTACAGCCCAGGTCTAAATTCCAGTCGATACCAGTTGAAACCAGTCAGGATCTACCGGTTTGAACTGGTCTCAACTGGTCTCAACTGGCCTACCAGTTGATACCAGTTGATACAATTTGGAAACTAGTAGAAATACCAATTTACATATGAGACCACACAGTTAAAATTTTAGTGAACATGTTGTTTAAAAGTTTAAACAACTTTGGATTAACGGGTGACCTGATCTAAGAGTTGTTTAAAATGTTAAGCAACTCGAGTTGTTTAAAGTTTAAACACTTAGTTGATCAACATTTTGAACAACTTGTTTAAAATCACAATTTAAACAACCGGTGTTGTTTAAAGACGGTTGTTTAAAACGGAGCTGTTGTTCAGTGGGGGTTGTTTACACCAACTGGGTTGTTGAAAGAAAGTTGTTTAAAACGGAGCTGTTGTTCAGTGGGGCTTGTTTACACCAACTGGGTTGTTTAAAGAAAGTTGTTTAAAAAGGAGCTGTTGTTCAGTGGGGGTTGTTTACACCAACTGGGTTGTTTAAAGAAAGTTGTTTAAAAAGGAGCTGTTGTTAAATAATAATAATACTATTGGATTCTTATATAGCGCACGTACCGACCTTGCAAGGTCCTCAAGGCGCTCCAACATTACCCGGCCATGCTAAGCTGCCAAAGGACATTAGTGCCGCAGCGGGACTCGAACCGTGGACCATGTGATCGACAGTCCGGCGACGTTTCCACTCATCCACGACACCTCTACAGCTTGTCGGCCATGATGTGAAACAAACGCGCACTTTACTGGCACGTGACACATGACGTCATATGTAAACAACACTGTCTAAAAGCTCTCGTGTAGTAAATATAGCAGTCATTAAATTTTAAACAGCGAATGTTTAACAAAATTACTTTCGTTTCGAGCAACATTGTTTACAATTTGTTCAACTGTTGTTTAAGATAGTGTACAACTTTAAGTGAACATCACTTTTTTAAACAGCGTTTTTACTGTGCAGTTGATATTATTTATTCAGTTTTATTTACCAGTTGATAACCAGTAGATGATTACCAGTTGATTTACCAGTTGAAAACCAATAGAATACCAGTTGATTTACCAGTTTAAAAACGATCGAGTTCAATGTATCTTATGCATATTCATAATTAATTTGCATGTTTTCACAGAAAATATAATTATCATGATCTGTCAAGCAAATGTGACAATGCACATTAACTTCGTGGTTTATATTTTCTTAGACAATCATTGACAAATATATTATATATGTCTGATCAGTGGCGTACGCAGGATTTTTTCAAGGGGGGGGGGGGTAAAATTTTGAAATCGGGCCGAAAATTTCGCAACGACTCAGCCAGCCGCTGAATAAGCGGGGGGGGGGGGGGTAAGAGGACTTTTTTTTTTTTTTATATAATTAAAAAAAACGAAAAAAGGGGGGGTTTTCCTAAAAAATACACACATTAAAATACCAAAGGGGGGTTCATCCCCCCCCCCCCTGCGTACGCGCCTGTGTCTGATCATGTTTTTCATCTAATTTAAGACGTAACATTCGACATATTGAATTATTGATATTACTAACCAGGAAACAAAGTGTAGGCCCTATAAATTTGTATATATACGCGAGCTATATTATGTATACTTTACATAATACACATCTGCAATCTCATTGTGATGGGGTAATTGCAAGAGTTTGTATATGGTCAAGTTGATAGCCAGATGCTAACAGGGGCGTCGCCAAAGGGGGGGTGTGGGGGTGCGACACCCCCCCCCCCTTTCCCCCCCCCCCCCCCCCACCTGTCAGGATATTGTCGGTAAAATTGCGCTGCCGTCGGGGAAAAAAGAGAAAAAGGGGAAGCCTTTTTCAGACAAGGATTAAGAGTCGAGCACGGTTCAACAAATCGTCTACTTTCTCTAATAATTTAAGGAAACGTCAAAACCTCCGCGCTTCGCGCGGAAGGGGGACAACTTAATTCAGATGAGAATTAAGAGTCGAAAACAGTACACGAAATAGGGCTTATTAAGAGTCTAAAACGGTACAAACGAATCGTCTTCTTTCTCTAATAATTTCATGAAACGTCAAAGCTTCCGCGCTTCGCGCGAGAGGGGGGAACTAAATTCAGATGAATAGTGAGTAATAAGAGTCTAAAACGGTACGACAAATCGTCTTCCTTTCACTATATTGTGATGAAACTCCCCCCCCCCCCCCCCCAAAAAAAAAGGGGGGAAGGGGAAAACTTCATTTTGACGAGTCGAGAACGGTACAACGAATCGTCTTCTTTCTCTAATATTTTAAGGAAACGTCAAAGCTTCCGCGCTAAAGGGGGAAACTGAATTCATAGTCGAAAAAGGTACAACGAATCGTCTTCTTTCTTTAATAATTTAATGAAACGTCATAACTTCCGCGGTTCGCGCGGGAGGGGGGGACTTCATTTAGACAAGGATTAACAGTCGAGAAAGGTATAATAAATCGTCTTCTTTTCCTAATAATTTAGAGGCCTATCACCCACACCCTCTAATGAGCGCTCTTTAAGTGATTCGCTTGCTCACTACCGCCCTCCCTAAAATAAGATCCTAGCTCCGCGCCTGCATTAAAATATATCAGCTATGATGCTGACCAGGGGCGTAAATCCCGGGGGATGGGGGATGCATCCCCCACTCGCTTGATAATGCATGAGAAATGAGTTATTTTTGTTATGTAGGTATAACTGTATAGCCTACACGTATACAGTATGTCACGATCATTAAGAGTAGTTGCGCGACGTGCGCGAACAAGCACTTCATAAACTTCAGAATAATTTTTCGTTATTTTGCAAGGTATTTACAGACGTACAGACGTAAAGTGCGCCAGCGCGCGGGCACTTAAAAAGTGCCAACGTTTCTGAATCCCCCTTTCGCCGGCTTTTCGCTGGCGTTTTCCTGCCTTGGAGACCTCCCCCCCCCCCCCCCCCCCCCCCCCCCCACCTCCAATTTCAGGTGAGCTCTAGTCGATCGAGGGGGACTGGGGGGCCAATGTTTTTACTTTTCAAAATGAAATAATCCTGAATGAGCTTTCAAAGCTAGTAGGAATTTGATCCCGGGATTTGATCAATTTTTCTATGATATTCAAGATATTTTATAACCCCCTTTTTTACATTTCTCAGGAGTCCAAAGAGAGAGAGAGAAAAGAAACCATCCCCTTTTTAAAGAAATCTCCGGGAGACAAGTCAAATACACCCCCTTTTTTTACAATTCTCGGGCCGGATTTTGTCGCGCGAAAAAGTACCCCTTTCCTGGAGATTTTAGGAACGCGCATGCGGTCCCTCCGACCCCGGAGTGTGGGGGGGGGGGGGTAGATAAAGACTGAAGTTCCAGACCCGGCGTGTTCAACACTTACAGTGGCCGTTTGTCTCTTCAGTTATTTCAAGGTAAGCCTGTACACATTCTTATTATTTTTATATTTGAGAAAGGATTTTGCTGAGGAAATTAAAGAATTCATTAGATTTAATTAATAAACACAGTACATGTATCATTATATGAATTCCAGAAACACTTTTTAAGAGGTGTGAAAACTGTGAACGCATCTGATTGAGAGTGATAAATAATACGGTAACTGTTGCATTGCCCAAGTCCTACTCGGTGGTTGTCATTTGTTCACACCTAAAACTTAAGGGACGAGGGGATGATATTTAAGGGCTGCAATGCATGTGATGTTTGTGTAGGTCTATGAATGAATTAATTTGTTGTTTATATTGAATGAATTGAATTGAATTCAGATAAATAGGGCTTAATAAGAGTCGAAAACGGTGCAACGAATCGTCTTCTTTCTATAATAATTAAATCAAACGTCTAAGCTTTTCGCGCTTCGCGCGGGAAGGGTAAACTGAATTCAGACGAGAATTCAGAGTCGAGAACAGTACACCCAATCGTCTGCTTTCTCTAATAATTTAAGGAAACGTCAAGGCTTCCGCGCTTCGCGCGAGAGGAGGAAACTAAATTCAGATAAATAGGGCTTATTAACAGTCGAAAACGGTGCAACGAATCGTCTCCTTTCTATAATAATTAAATCAAACGTCTAAGCTTTTCGCGCTTCGCGCGGGAGGGGAAACTGAATTCAGACGAGAATCAAGAGTCAAGAACAGTACACCCAATCGTCTGCTTTCTCTAATAATTTAAGGAAACGTCAAGGCTTCCGCGCTTCGCGCGAGAGGGGGAAACTGAATTCAGATAAATAGGGCTTTAATATTAAGAGTCGAAAACGGTACAACGAATCGTCTGCTTTCTCTAATAATTTAATGAAACGTCAAACTTCCGTGCTTTGCGCGGGAGGGGTAAACCGAATTCAGACAAAGATTAAGAGTCGAGCACAGTTTAACAAATCGTCTACTTTCTCTAATAATTAATGTCAAAGCTTCCGCGCATCGCGCGGGAGAGAGAGGGAGAAACTGAATTCATACAAGGATTAAGAGTCGAGCACGGTTC